CACCACCTGTGCCCCACCTGCCGGCGGCAGACATTGCGTGTGGCTGTTGAGCTCTTGTGAGAACCCTGCCACAATTGGAGGCAAGAGCATTGCACCCGCACCGAGCCAGCGCACTTGCAACAGGTACAAGCTAACGAGTCGGCGATGACCGCACCAGCGGAAACACTTACCACCGCTAGCCACCGCACTTGAACTCGTCAACAAGTTGCGCAGCAGTTTCCCGCAGAGTTTTCCACCCCACACAGTGGTGCCACAAATGTTCCAATTAGAAAAGAAACGAGTAATCAAATATAAGAGAGAGAGATGCAAAAGTTCTTCATCAGAAAGTTCTTTAGTTTTGGCCTCATATTTGCAATGGCTTTTCGGCTGTTCATCGCATTGGGTCTTGCTTCGGGAATACTCTACTAAAATATCCAATTAAAAGTACTCGTATTCAAATATAACATTATGCTCTATGCTGCCACAATTTGCACAAAAACATCAACGGATTTCGGTCATGTCACAGCCGCGAAAGGAATGTTGTGGTGCAGAAAGTTGAACCCCAAAACACGAAATCATATTTTAATTACGACAAAGAACCCCAAAACAGCGCGCCACCCAGCCAGGTGACTCCCAAACGGCGTGGGTAATAAATAAAATAAAATCTAAAATAATATATATAAAACAACAAATTTGCAGCATTTTGAACAACAAAGCTGCTGGCGCTCCACGCAGCACAAGTGGAAAATTGTCTGCCACCGCTGTTGCTGGTAGGTTGTTGCAGGTTGCTCCTTGTTGCAGCTTGTTGGTGTCCTTGGGTCGCGGGTCGAGAGGCTGCAGGTGCAAGCTCGACCAGCAGGTGGCGGTTAGCTGCTTTTACTCAGTTTTAATAAACGCTCCATCGTTGATGATGTTAATAATGCTGCTGCTGCTGCCAGCGGTTCCTTCTCGTCCTGCCGCATTGTTAATGTAGATGAACTGAGATGCAAGGAGTGAGGTGGCTGCCTGCTGCCTGCGGTGCGGCAAAGTGTTGCCAGTAATTGCAATTTGTTGCTTGCCACTGCAGCTGCAGTGGAACTGGAAACAATCTAACTTGGATTTCCATTAGGGCCCACAGACAAATCATTTCGACTTTCCTCTATCTCTCCTCTCTGCAACTCTGTAATGCGATGCCGCAGCTGTGGGCAAAATCTGCAGAGACAATTCCTTCAGCTGTAGCCCAAATCGAGGAGGCTCTTCGTTCTTGTCATTCAGAGACCACCCAGAACCGCAAAGACTGACACGATTTAGGGGCCCAAGAACAAAAGAAAAATTCGTTTAAGCTCCAGCTCAAGGATCTCTTAAGATCGGATCGAATTTTAAATTTTAAACTCTAATAAAGGGAGATCGATGATGATGCCAATAGGGAGTGGCACGTTCCGCGTGGCCCAATGCTGCTGGCATGCAAGTAGAATGCGTCATGCAGGGTGCAGGGTGCAGGGTGCAGGATGCAGCATGCACCATTAGAACGGAAATGTCGCTCCAACTATTGTTATATCGTATTTGCACAAATGCTGCGCTATGTCCTCGTAACATCCTCTGCTTCCCATGCAAATGCCAAGCACGTTGCTGACAAGGGGGCGTGCCGCAAGCCAAAAAAAAAAAGCCAAAAACGAAGAAAAGCAAGAAAGCGCCAGCCAAGACAAGGCGGCAGCTCCTCCCCCCCAAAAAGACTTCGAGCTGCTGGTTCGATTGATGATGGTGATGCTCCGCTGTGCTGCGACAATATGCTGAAGCAGCGCAATTTTTTCCTATGGCTGTTCTTGGCAGCCTACGTGTGGCCACGCCCACAGTGCAAACCAACAACAACGAAAAAGAAGATAAAAAGAGCTGGAATAGGTGGGTAGGGAAGTGCGTTCTATTCGCTTCTCTCATAATCGTCAAATTAATACGCGTCGTGTGGGAAATATTTGCGCCAGGCGCCAAAACGATGCTTGGCAACCCTCTAGGGTTGCCATCCACCAAATCCCGAAAACGTGAGAGCATTTAAAGCCAAAGCGAAAGCAAAAACAAATAAAACTCAAGTGCTAAATGTGTGAAAATGTGGCAGAGCAGAGCAGAGCTCTACGCGTGTGTGCGTGTGTGTGTTTCTATGGCAACTGGATTCGGTGGCAAGGCTACTCAGGTGTCACTCTGGTTAATCCGATCCCTGGCGGCTTAATCAGCTCAGGCCCATGCCAGATAACTGCCTGGAACGAATCTAATCAAGGGGCCAGCTAGATGGGCGAGCTGGGTGCCCGTCCACACATCACTCTTGACTCGGGCTGGGGCTGGGGCCATCAAATTTCAGTCATAACAATAACACTGATAGTCCTTTGCTCGTAAAACAAGACCCAAGCCAGCGAACCCTTTTATTTTTGTTTTGGAGGGCACGAGGATGGATGGAACTCTGCTCTGGCCGGGATTTGTCTGCGTCCATGGCTTTGGTTCGGCCTCCTTTGCTCGCATGTGCTGTTGTTTTAGCCCCAGCCTAGGAAACAATCAAGAGAACGCGACACTAAAAACCACACACACACACACACACGCACTCGAGAGAGGCAGAGAAATTCGACAATGGCACTTGACGTTACCCGAAGGAGAAGGAGGCAGTAGCTCTGCCAGAAGCTGCGAGGTGGAAGGTGACCGGGAGGCAGGTCAAAAGGCGTCGCCTAAAGCATTTAAATCCTTTTCGCACTTTCTGCTGTCTGAAGCTGCTGCTGCTGATGCTGCTGCTGCTCCTTCCCCTACACTTTCTTCTGCTTGTTGCGTGTGAATTTCCATTTCGACTATTTCCGAGGGACGACACCCATGTGCCGTGACGTGGAGTTGGGGGACGCTTCACGCTTTAATTTCAACTTTATGGGGCTTTCTGTTTTTTTTTTAGGAGGTTAGGAGGTTCGTATAAGGCCGTAAAATAGGAATTTGCTTTATTAAAATATTTCGCTTGAAAAATATGAGAGACAAACGAGGAGGACGCTGAGGAAGGCTAAAAGAAGTAGCGGCAAATCCGCTATCACGGACCCAAGGGCGCCAATGTAAAATGTGAGCGTTCCCAGGGGGAAAGGGGGCAGCCGAGGGCGTAAAGCGAAAGTATTCCTCCAAGAATGAGGTAAAAATTTACTCAACTATGAACTCTAGCCCCACCCCCACCTCCATGTGTGTGGGGGGTGTGTGTGTCTGGGAAATAGGCAAAAATTTGCGACAGGCCAAAGGTTATGTTGATCCTTGTCTGCCGCTCCTGCGCTGCGTCTGCTCCTGGCAAGGGTTCCCAGGTCCTTTAGCTTGCTCTCTGTCTGTGTTTGACATACCTCCCACCCTCTCAGCCCCTCTCTGCAACAGCCATTCGGAGAAAATTTATATAAATTGCCAGTAATGCTGCTGGCTGGTTCGACAACATCTATCGTGGGGCATGGACGTGTGGTGGGTGCCTTGAACGCGAATTTAGGGGGTGGTGGCAAATTGCTGTTGTTGATTTCCCGAGCTTGTTCTTGCCACATTCTTTTGCCAAACAAATTATATAGTGGGGGAGGGTTGCAAAAAAAAAGGGAAAATAATGAAATCGTAAAGAGTTTGGCAACGAGTGAGGGCTCCAAACGCTCCATCCAGTCTGTGGATGGGGGAGAGGGTGCTGGAAGATATTTTTCCTTATTTAAAATTCATTTATGTCCTCTCTCCGCTCTCCATTATGCACACTACACACACAATGGTAACTCATCACTGTCCCTCCCACGCTCTCTATTCTCTCTCTCTCTCTCTCACTCTATTCCTCTTTCCCACTCTGTGCTCGCTTTTCTCGCACAAACCATTCAGACATGATGCGTATGCAAATTGTGGGCCATATTAATCATTGGCAGAGTTCTGGTTTTTTTTTTTGTTTTTGTCCCCGAGAGAGGGTTACCAGATGGTGGGGTTAGGGGTTACCAGAGGGCTTTTGGCCAGATTTAATACTGCATTTTGTAGCTTATAAATAAACAGAGAAAGAGATGGCAAAACACACAGCGAAAGAGAGAGAGAGAGAGAGAGAGACTATGGTCTCTGCTAGTAAATTTATGAAAACGCGAATGAAATCTCATTCCATAGACTGGATAAAGGCCACCCAGTAGGGGCAAGGAGCTGGAGGAGCTGGAGGCAGGAGGCAGGAGTGGGTGCTGACAGGGTGTGACAATGCTGTGTGTGGCAACAGGGATAGCTGAGTGGGGAGTGGTTTTTTTTTTTGCACTGCACAGGACACTAAAAACAACTGCCACTGCAGCGTCAGGCTCGGCGTTAAATGCTTTTGTTGATTCTAGATGCACGACTAGAACCACAACCAAACACTGTCCCTGCCTCTGCTCCTGCCCCGCGCGCACCGGGCTCACAATTTAATAGTTTCGGCGTCGGCCAAAAGAAATGAACTCCAAAAACTGCAGACTGCAATGTGTCTTGGCAAACAGACAACGAATGCGGATCCGGACACGGACACGGACACGGACCACACCCACAATTGCCTTTTGTAAAACGGCAAACGCTTTTTGTGTTTGTATTTCATTAAAAAAAACGGACCCCTGCCCCTGCCTGTCGGGCGTGAGAAGAGGAGAGAGGGAGGAGAGGGAGAGAAAAACTTCACCGTTACGGGGAAAATGGTCAAAGTTCGGCTGAGTCGGAGGCTGGAGCTGGAGCTGGAGCTGGGGCCTCGGGACTTTGGTAGATTTTGTATAGAGCAGTGGCACAGGAAGGACCGGGCCTAGTGGTTCTGTGTGAGGAGAGAAGATTTTCCCGGTTTTATTGCGGTCAGGATACACTTTGAGCGGGGCTGCACTGCTCTTTGAGTAAACACACATTTCATAATTCATCAGACGACGACTGTCCGTGATAGAAAGTCACGTTTTTAATAGAGCACCCAACGGACCGAACGGACCCAACGGACCACGGACCAAAGACAACAAATGACCCCAAGGACAATTAATTAACTGCATCTCTAATGAATCTCATTCTGTTTGTGTGCTTTTTGTGCTACATTTCAGCTGTCATCGCCCTGTCCCTGACAGGCCTCGCCCCCTGCCACGCCCAGCAGCAAAAGTTCCGCACCACGCCCCACGATCTGCAAGTACTCGAGGGTGCCGAGGCCATGATGCGCTGCGAGGTGACCAATGTGGCCGGAGCCGTGCAATGGACAAAGGACGGCTTCGCCCTGGGCTTCTCCGCCGTGATCCCGGGCTTTCCGCGCTACTCAGTGCTCGGCGACCGGAAGCAGGGTGTCTACAATCTGCGCATCTCGAATGCGTCCATCAACGACGATGCGGAGTACCAATGCCAGGTGGGACCCGCCCGCCTCAACTCTGCAATCCGAGCAAATGCCAAACTGACAGTCATATGTGAGTACATAAATAATGTTTAGATAGTTGCCATAAGAGTTCCCAACCAATGCAACTTGATTATTAAATTTGGAACGCTGTCGACGCAGTCGTATCCATTCTATCTAATTTCATTCTATTCGTATTTGTAATCAACACCCAGGATTGTTCTTGGTCTGACTTGCATTTCAAGTAGAATTCAAACTATATGTACATTAACAATTTCCATTTCGAAATAATATTATCAAGAATTTCTTACCTTAGAAGAAGAATTTACGATGCCATGCAATTAATTTCAATAACGATGAAAACTCTTAGCAGCAGAGTTCGGAACTTTTTTTCTGGGTCACTCTTTACCGCTCACTCTGCAGCTGTCTTCTCGTTCCATTCCACTGTTTTCTGGATCTGCAATTAATTTAAGTAATAAATACAAATGAATTTGTCACCAGGGGCGCCACAGCCAACGAGTCACACATACTCGTACACACACACACGTACACGCGTCGTGCTCTTTCCTGCTCATTGCACCTAGTGAGAATTGTCGCTTCAGAAATTTAAATGCGATGCTCCCTTTTTTACCTATCCCGCTGCCCGCATCTACCACCACATTTCCACCAGCCCCGCTTCGGCATTTGTCGCTGTTGCTGGCTGCTGGCTGCTGCGATGCCGGCAGCATTTATTGTCAGCAATTTGCAAAAGCAACAACAGCAATAGCAAAAGCAGCATGAGAGGAGAGGAATTTAGCGCAGTTTATTGCTCCAAGGAGCTAACGAATCAAGGGAGAGAGGGACGATAGAAACTGCACAGAACACTACTGCTGGGGTGGGGTGAGCGAGAAGATGCGGTAAAGTTACAGCTAGACAGAACTCTTGGCTACAGCCAAGCTATATCAAATGGAAGGTAACGGGAGTTGACTAACATGCAAAGAAGATATCAAAGAAACAGAGAACTACCTTACCTTGCATAAAATATACCTTGGATGCAAGCGCAAAACTGAAGTGAAATGAATTTTTTCCCTGGTGTTCCTGTTATTTTTTTTTGGGCCTGTTGCATTATTGTTGTGTCCGCCTGTCGAGTAATCACTTTGAGTCACGTATATACATATGTACATGCATATGTACACAACATATGTACATATGTATGTCTTGTTCTTATTGTTGCTGTAATTTCTGAAGTTGTTGTAATCACTCAAGAAATTGCTCCACATTTGATGACAGCGATACTCATTTGCTGCGCCTCGTTTGTCTTATTCCGTTTCTCCTCTCCATTCTAAAGAAATTCTTTGCAAGAGGGTGGGAGTTGAGTAGATGAGGTGAGATGCTCCATGGTCTCAATGTCCGTCCCTCCCTCTTGCCACATGTACTACGAGGACGTATCAAGCCCCAAGGCCCGCCTCGCACACACTTTCCCCAACGCACAACCACCCACCCACTCACACATCCATGCGCATGCTTAATGACGTTTGTTTAGTTAATTACGCGCCATGAGCTGTGACAATGTGGATACATATGTATGTACATGTAGGTGTGTGTGTGTGTGTGTGTGCAATTTGAAGCCCAAGAATTCTCGAAGGAGCGTAAAAGAAATCAAGAAAAAAGTGAAACAAATCTATTACAATTGCGCCGAAGTTCGTACTTCCTTTTCATACATCAAAATGTATACTCTATGTACGTACATAAGCAAAACTAACCTAAAAAGCTTCCTCTGCATTGTCATAATTCACTAGTTGGCCAACACATAGAACCTTCTGTTAGGGTATACGTAGTATGTGCCGTACATCTCATGGAGCGAGACTTTAGGTGCTGCGGTGTGGGGCGATGTGTCTTGGCTTGTTAGTAATTTTACTGCTGGTGTTGTTGCGGCAAAAGGTCGCCTGCTACTCGCTCCTTGCACGGAATGTTTGTCATAATTGTGGATACTTGTGCGAATGCCGTGCCATTCGCCCTTGCTTTGTAAGAGAAGGGAATTCTTGTCTGGGTCTGCCTTTGCTCCTGGGTCACAGTGGAGAGATGACATGTGTCTGTCCTCCAGTCTCCTTGGTATTCGTTGCTACAAAGTGGGCGAGCATGTATGGACTATGTACATGTGTGGCATGGAATGGGGCACGGGCACACGTGCTACATTATTGCAGCAATTAGCCAAAGGGAAATGTGGACAAATGCGTAATAATTCAATTAAGTTCGAATTACATTAAATTGATTTATCCCCAAAGGGGATGTCCACTCATTTCTGCACCAATACCGTAGTGGCAGTGAATTTCCCACGGAATGTGCCACAAAAAGTAGCCACAAGAAATTTTTCATTTCTGTCTGTCCTTTTGTTTTCCACCGGAATGCTGTTCTTTGACTATTTTGTGAATTAGATATGGAAATATATTTAATTTACTGCAAAAGTCCCAACCATAATAATTTCAAATAATTTGCACAAAGAAATAAATGCAAAATTTAAATGTTAAATGTACCCGAAACGAAATTCTAAACTTTCCAAGAGCTTCGGCAATTGAAATAATACAAATTGATTGATTGACTTCCGATTCCCCTTAAGTTCACCTCTCCCAAGTTGGTTCAGCGGCTAATCATTTGTGTCAGGACTCGTGATTTGTATTCTTTTTTGTAATAGCAGTTGAATTATGCATCCTATCCACCACATTCGTGTCTCATAATTGGTAAATTCTTTTTTTTTTCCATTAAAACTTTGACCAGATGCTGTATTAATATTTAAATGCACTCAACTTTAGTCCTTGCCCAAATTTAATTTGTAGACCAAGTCGCAAAGCTTTTGTGGGAGCCAATTTGGTTGTAACCTGGTCCCGTGCTTATGTAAAAGTTTTTAAATTATTCAACCCACATATACTCTCGCACAAGGTGCTGTATGTACATGTGTAGGTGTGTAATATATGTACGTGAGGGCGCAATTAGATTATAAGTTTGGCAAAGTAAAGAACTTTTGCACACAAAAGTCTACCTGCAAATTTATGGAAATTTACAGAACATTTTCGCATGCCATTAATTTAAAAATAAAAATTCCAGAAAGAACAGAAGCCCCAAAAAAAGAAAATATGGAACTAGAATAATGGAGCTAAAAACACATATGCCGCAAGGCTCCTCCATGTCCAGGATGGGTCCAGTTGGTCCTGTAGTCCAGGGAAGAGTTGAAACTTTGTACTGCAGCGGAATGTACGGACAATGGCAATGCGAAATCCAGGCACAGAACGGATATACTTGCACCACATTCACAGTCCCTCCCCCCGAATTACACCTCTTCAAATTTATATATATTTCTGAATGGAAAGCTGCACAAATTTAAGGCACACTCGGAGTGGGAGTGGAAGGAGCTACTTCTACTAGCTCTACCGAATGCCGGATTTTTGGCCAATAGACGCACTTCATTGATTCTCAAATGTCTGCACATTTTTCACACACACTGTCCCTCTCCCTCTCTCTCCCTCTCTCTCTGCATCTTTTGCTCTCTTTCTTCTTGGGCCCCTTGTCTTGTAATTGAAGTGCAAATGAGGAAAGTTTTCATCTCTCGGCTTTCCCGAAGAAATATCGCCCAGCATTTGTTATGTGAAGCTGACCTTAAAGCCAGTCCATGTCCATGGACCCCAAACGCCTTTGGGGCCGCACTTTGGGTGTGACTGAGTCCCGCGATGGCTCAAGCAACCACTCACACTCCCACCATCCAGCTGCTGCCTTCAAAAGTTGACGTCAAACGAAAAAAAAAAAGGATGGCCAACTCGGGCTTTTCTTCGGGCGATGGACTGGACGGGGTTAGACGTGGCTTGGTGGCAGGACAGGCGGAAGGGCTACGAAAGTATTTCTGCGCATAAAACTTTTATGAGGCGTACTATTAGTGGGTTAGGTTAGGCGTTGGGGAAGAAGTCCACGTCCAGTGTTCATGGCAAATTGCACTTTGTGTAGTCCTTAGGTGGCAGGCAATACGAGCAGCTGGAGCTGCCACTGCCACCAGCACGCGGATGCTCCTAGGAGCGCTATTGCATCCATCGATGCATTCATTATTAGATGCCAACCAATGCATTGGTTAGAGACACTTCTGGAGCAATACAAAGGGCACAAAAGTAGCTTTCAAAGAGCCAGAAGAAAAGACTTCCTACGTCATGGAATACTGCCACTGATGCTGCACTCCCACTGAATATCCTGGCACCATGGCTGACGTGTGAGTTGTGAAACTTGCTCAACAAAATGCAATCAACTTTTTTTCAAACTGAGAATGGATCCAATAGACTCGATCAACTATCAAAGACCTAGAACCAGGTACTGTTTCAAAGGCTGATAGCAAATAAAATAAAAACAAAACTTTCAACTAAAATGCTCTCTGGACTGGACAATGGCCTTGGCGCAGCTATTTCCCAGCAAAACAAATTCCATAAACTGGCACAACACCTTCGTCGATGAGTGGTCTGCAGTGTTGTGGCATCCACTCTCTTTAATGCATTCAATGGTACTTGAAGTCCTTCAACCTTTGGCCAAAACCTTATCAGTTCTGTTCCACATTTGCTGAAACGAAATGAAAGCCCCAAAACACAATACAACATACCGCAAACCCACCCACCGACCGCCCAAGTCATGCATATGTCAATAGTCAAATACAATTTGCATACCAATCAAAATACAGACTCACACACACGTATAACCCATAACCCTGCCGGTACGATATACCCCTGACCCAGCCACGATTTGGTTAACTCAGACCTGCTGGTTAGAGACACGGACACGGACACGGACACGCTCTCCGGCATAAATCAAGTTGCATTTGCCATGAAAAATCATACGAGCATACGCATATTGTGCATACAATACGCTTTTTAACTATGCAACGCACCGCATGCACCTTCGTGTGCCACATTTTGTGGCGTTCGCTCTGTTGTGCCAAATATTATGAATTTTCAATGCACGTGGCAACCGACGTAACAACCCGGTGGGGCGACACCAAATTTCGGTGGCACAAAGCCTTAAGTCGGAACTGTTGCATGGCTGAGGCCAGGCTGCCTGCCAGATGATCCTCATGTATCTCTGGTATCACTGGCATCTCCCACGGCATACAGCTTACAAGGAGAGTGCAGCTGCACATATCCAGCTGAGACGAGTCCTTCGGCATGGATGGAGCAGTATTTGATTGTGTTTACTGCCAGGGGAGAACGCAGAAAAGCGTGTGCGAAATATTTCAAATTAAAAAGAGATTTTTGTTTCCAAGTTTCCAAGAGACAGAGAGAGAGAGAGAAAGTGAAGCTCTGCGGCTTTCACTTTAATCAAATCAATCAACTATTCTGCTTAAACAAAACCGACTTGAGGCGCCCCAAAAGTTGTTGAGCAGCAGCAGATGGCCGCCCCATGAACGAAAACTATGTAAAGCTTATTAAATATGTACAACATTCCACCTTTGGGATGTCCTCAAGGGATTTATCTGGCGATATGTATGCTCGGAAAAGGACACCGAAAACCATGGAGAGCCACACACAAATTATGCTTATGACATCGGAATCCACACCCCACTGCCACTCATCCAGCAGGAATCTGGTTGTGTGTGTTTGTGTCGTGCCACTTGATTGCGGAATTTCATTTATGTATTGGATTTGTGCATAATAATTGAAGGACCCCGTCGGCGATCCTAAACCAAATCAAAGGAATAAACCTGTTCGCTTTGCGGTGTTGATTTCATATTGCGGCTCCAGCAACAGCAATTACCACTACGCATGGCAACAACCCACCCTATGCTGCTGCCTCCCCATCCAATTTCCCATGCCCCTTAACAGCAAGGAGCACAGGAGTACAGTACCGCTCCAGCCAGCTCCTTGTGCGACATTAAGCATTCATCTGGCATGCAACAACTTCTCTGGGAGCGGACGGAGTTCGTGGAGGCAACAGACGGCAACATATGTTGCATGTCAAATGCAGAACTTTCTTCACTTGAGGCAGCAGCCTGGCTTGCGCTACACTGAGCGAATTTACACATCTGGCCAACAAAATGTAACAATGAATCGCAATTGTGGTTTTTCTTCGAGTGTGTAAGGCATGTTGGGTGGTTTGGGGCGCGGCATAGGCACCTGCTTAGTGCTGCACAAGGAAATGCAATGGCAATGGCCAGGTACTGGTTCTGGTTCTGTTTCTGGTTCTGTTTCTGTTTCTGGGTACCCAAAACTCCTTCAGGTGGCATTAAAATAATGCACACGTGCACTTAACTTTATCCACGTTGCTCCGTGTTTGTGTTTACCCCATGCCCCATGCATTCGTTTGTTTGTTTCTGCATTCATACGCGTGCAACCACCCACACGCCACAAACAACGACGACTCGGGGCGGGGCATTGTTTCGTTGCCTCGTCGTGTATATTTCAACAGTTTGCCAAGGCACAGGCACAGTCACAGACCTAGACTCTGGCTACCACTCGGGGGACTCCACTGCGGGTGTGCAAATATTGAAACTCATATTTGAACACATTAACGAGGGGCACAGAGGAGAGCAGAACAGAGTAGAGCAGCGAAGAGCAGAGCGGGATCTGGCTGCCTCTTATGTAGGTTTTCCAGGACATGTTCCAGTCACAGCCTCCATACGGCCATTCAACCTGTTCCCGCAACAACAATGTCGTCTCTGTTCTCTCATACACAACCACACACACACACACACACACACACACACACACAGACAGACAATGCATTAGGCATTGCCACGCCCATACCCATGCCACGTGAGTGGCAAGTACATCTGTAATGCCATTGTGACCATAATGAGCAAAAGCTCTGTTGTCCTTTGTTTTGACTTCAGGATATACATGTACATAATATATTCTATATACCACCCATACAATATACTTGGTGCAAGCTCTAATCTGTTCTCTGCTTCTGCTTCTTACAGCTCCGCCTGCCTCGATCGAGATCAAAGGCTACAGCCACAACTCCAAGGTTGAGGTGCGCGAGAATCAGGACCTGCAGCTCAAGTGCATTGTGGCGAATGCAAAGCCGGCGGCTCAAATAGTCTGGTATCGCGGCAATGTGGAATACAAGCCAGGTTGGTAGTTGTTCAAGAATAGATTCATAATTTAAGGTGTCAAAAAAGTTACTTAAAAGTAGCCAGAGAACAACAAAAGAATACAAAAATTTAAGTAATTAAAACACAACTTTTGGGCATTTATTTTATCAGTTAAATTTCCGAAATATCCAGCCAACGAACTCCACTACGAGGATTTTCTATGTCTTACGCTGCTTCTGCGAATGCGGATTAGGGTTAAAATGAAGTGGAAAATGAAATTTAAGTGGCCATATTTAATGGCATTGTTCCAGATGCTAATTTCGCTGCAGAATATGGAACGAAAAGCGTACGATTATCTGTGCGGTGGTGCGGCAAGGGCGGGGTACCGGCTATTAGCAGGCATAAAATAAAACACTAGAATATACAATACAGAATACGAAATGTGTAAATGGTTTTTTTTTGGGGGGGGCATGCCCTTATCCTCTTCGCCATCTGCGTGGGATAAGTGCGGATGAACCGGTTGCCACGTGAAGGTGGGGCCAATGGTGCTGTCAGGCTGTCAACCGCTCGGCCATGCCACATGTGGAGGCTATGGCACGATGAGGGTAGGCTCTGACACGGAGACAGGGGGTAAGCGAGAGGGAGGGAGAGTCGGGGAAAATGGACGTTGACTTTCGGCTTGATGACGGTGCTTAAATAATAATTTTATACTCCAACATAGCGACGACTGTCGATGTTTTGCCCTTATCTGCTCAGATGCTCAGCTCTGTGGCACGGTGGCATGGTTAGGTTATGCCGTGTTATTCTGCCTTGTCATTTAGCCGCTGCCGGGCAGTCGGCAAACGGCAAATTGGAAAACAGAGCCTGACGGCCACGGAAAATATGGAAAAATGCAAATGTCAGCATGGCTGAAGGATACCATGGAACCATCACACGGTGTTTAGCCTCCGCCACCGACGCCGCCTTCACGACTTTTAATTTTCATAATGATTATGGGTATGTGGACAGACCCCGCTCGTTACATGTGGGTGTGGGTGTGGGTGTGGGTGAGATGTTGGGACCCGGATGATGCCCCTTTTTGTGGGTGGTGGCATGGTGCTGTCATTTGGCGACTAACGAAATCATTTTAGCACAACTGGCGCGTTAAAAACGCTCCAAAATGCGAAGCTTACGAGTAGACAACAACGACAACGACAACGACGACCATGACACAGCAAGGATGATGATGATGGAATTTTCTTATTATTTTTATTTTTTATTTAGGGGATAAACATATAAAAAACAAAAGGCCTTGCACGACCTGCACTTCCCCATTGCTCCCCAAACAAAAAAAAAAGAGAGAAGAAAGAAAGAAAATTCGCAAAACGGCGTTAAAATGTAGGAAAAATCCGCAAGGAAATGTGGACGGCGGAAGGAAGTCGAGGAAGCTGCATGATGAATTATGTTTATGACGCAATATGTTGCGGCAGGCAGGCAGGCAGACAGGCAGGAAGGCAGGAAGGGTCCGAGCCAGCGTCCTGCAACAGGACAAACGAGGGTTTACGACAATGGGCAGTTTGGTAGGGAATGAGGTTCTGGTTCTTGTATCATTTGCAAGCTGTCAGAGAATGGAGGGGCAGGCATGTGCGCCCTGGCTGTGTCTGTGTTTCTGTGTGTGGCAGGAAGACGCGTAAATGGCGGTTAATGTGCACAGACGGCCAGCTCTGTGGTGATTACCCCACAGACAGGGCCACGAACATGGTCCTGGGGATAGTTTGGTGGTGGGTGGCAAAGGCATACGCCACTCATTTTTGAGGGCCAATATTTTGTTTTGCAGCGCAGATGCGCAGGCCGCACCACACTCACAATTTATAACTGAGCATGATGTCAGAAATATATTTGAAAGCCTACCCCAAAAAGGGGGGCCATAAACCCATTGAACTTTCCACTTAAACATCATCCTTTTTTGATTTTTTGTTGCAGAAAAACGCGATGACCTGGTGGAGGAATCGATACCGAAACGATGGACAACTACGTCAAGCCTGAAGCTGAAGCCGGGCTCCGATGATGACTATACGGAATATACGTGCCAGGCCAAGCACAAGGCCCTCTCACCGGACATGCCCATGCGTGCCACCGTGCAACTGTCCGTGTTGTGTGAGTAGCCACAGCCACAGCCACAGCTTCCGCATCTACCGATTAGAGTGGGGTACCCGCGCGTCCTGGGGTCCTGGGGATGCGACCTCATTAGCTCTCTCATTTTGAGATACAATTGAACAAATGTGCTGCTGTGTGCCTGTCTCTGTGTGTGTGGCAACGGCAGGCTGTGCTCAATGGTGATTTTTTGGTTCCACATCGATACTGGCACGAACACGGGAAAGAGCGCCCCAATGCGGCTGGCTGCCATTTAGCCATCAAGGCCGCTAATTGCACAATTGGCACGCGTATTAATTAGTTTTTAAATTCTAATGTGCCACACAGATGTGCCAAAGAATCGTGGGGGCATGGCCAGGAGAGTACTCTTATTGATTGTGGCTACACCTGCAGCACCCGCCACGCCATAACCAAACGCACATTCAAATTAATTATGTTTTGTTATTTATGCATAGGCAGCTGGCAAATGGCAAATGGCAAAATGGCTCTTTCCAGCCACCCTTTCTGGGCCATTTCCTGCAGCGTGCATTGTAATTGTGGAAGCTGTATGGGGGGGGGCAAAAAGAACCGAACAGAAATCTCTTTACGCTGTCTGCATCGCATTGCGGGGCAGTGTGTGGCAGAGCTTTATATTCTCTCACACTCGTTTTGGGCCTTAATTATGACGCTATTATTGTATCTCTTGGCCCGGTCAGCAGCCCTCACTGTCCATTCTGGCCCATTCTGTCCTGGCTTCCGTCGTGCAATATTTCAAGTGATTTTAATTTAATTTTCCGCTGCATAACTGCAGGGACTCACAGCACCTGCCTGCCACCAACTGCACTCCCCATTATACGCCTATCTGGCTGTGTGTCTGTGTGTGTGTGACAGCTTTTCTGCCTCATCTGGTTGCTCCTCCTGCTCCTGCTGTTGATTCAACACGGTTGACCGCTTGTCAAATTCTGATAAAGAACACCTGTAGCGGAAAATATGCATTAAGAGAATTGTGCGAAAATCTGTGTGCCATTTCTCCGAAAAGCCCGGATAAGAGGTGGCCGTTTCAGCAAAATTATTCGACCCCATGGAACGTATGGATAACGGAATTTATTTGTGCAAAATTTCCCAGTGCCATACAAATTTCCCTATAGTCAATTAAAAATTGTTTCCCCACTCATATTACAGCCTGCTGTGCCGGTCCGGTCCGGCCCGGTCCGCCCGCTTGTCGTTGTCGTTGGCGCTGTATTTTTCTACTGTTTTGTGGTATTTTACACTATTATTAACCGCCCAGCGTGGCGCCCTCGCAACAACAACAAGTAAACAAGCACAGAACGCCCCCAAAAAGGCCAGGAAAAGCCAGAAAAAAAAACAACAACCACCAAACTGTTGGGTGCCCTGTGAAGACCGAAGCTATTGATGCTCTTAAGCCAGTGCGCCCCACTCCATTCCTTTGAAAGTCTTTCAATGAATACTCAATACATGCTTTTGCATGTGACGAAGGAAACGACAAAGAGAGCACTGTGAAAAATTGTTTTTGCCATTTCCTGCTTGCTGCTCACGAAGGAAACGACAAAGAGAGCACTGTGAAAAATTGTTTTTGCCATTTACTGCCACCTGATCGTCATCTCTCGCTTGTCTCTCTGTGAGCCGAGAGAGCGTCGAGTTGGAGCGAAAAAAGCTTGCTTTCTCGTTCGCTCTACCAGACTTCTGGTAACAACAAAGAAAAGAGAGCGCAGCGCAATGTGATCTCTCTCTCTCTCTCTTCAATGCAAAGCAGTAACGGGTGTCACCAAAGTATATTCTGTTGCTTGTAACTGTAAAAAAACTACAAATGCAAAATACCCTTGTTATCCAGTGTATTATATAAATGAGAGAAATCGAAAAATAATGCATATGACCGCACTAGCGATTTACATGCAAACACAGCAATTAAAAAGTGTACAACAATTGGGTTTCTCTCGCTCTGCCACATTTCGCTTTTGCTTTAGTGTAAATTGAATTTATTTGCGGGTCAACAGCAGCAGCAATAGTTTGCAATTAAATATGCCAACTGTAAACACAGAAATGCCAAATGAATTCCCCCACCTCTGCAACATTTACATTACATTTTGCAGATCCCCCGGGGCCGCCCTATATCGAGGGCTATTCGCAGGGCGACACGCTGAGGCGTGGCCAGAGCGTGGAGCTAATGTGCCGCAGTCGCGGTGGCAATCCGCCTGCACAGCTTATTTGGTACAAGAACGGATCCCAGATACGCATGGCCTACAGGTGAGTACATGGTACATATCATCGGCCTATTTATAATATATCTTCTGCCTATCCCTCTGTCTCTTAGAACCGCTGGACGTTTGTCGGAGAATATTTATGCGTTTACCGCTGAGGCTGGGGACAACAAGGCCCGTTTCCGTTGCGAGGCGAGCAACGTAATGTCCCAGACGCCGCTCAAGGCGGAAGTGGATCTATCTGTCCTGTGTAAGTAGAGGAACGCCTAATGCCCTAATGGAGCCATCAAAGGATATCGTCTCCAGCAGACAGCTGCGGGGTTAAATGCCTAATTGTACATAGGACTCATATTTATGCGCGCAGAAAACGCGAGGCCTGGCATGCCAAAGGGGTATCTGATAGTGCACAGGCCTCTCAAAGGCATCCAACCCATACCCCACCCCCACTCATCATGCATATTTGTGCAGACGGACAGGATGGAGGACCTCCTCATCTGTGTGTGTGTGTGTGTGTGTGTGGATGTCAACAGCTAGGGATGCCTGCAACATCCTCTAAATTTCACAAGACCTCGGGTACAGCATTTGGCACGCGACACACACACAAAGAGAGAGAGAGAGAGGAGGGAGGGAGGGAGAGCTGACGTGTGTGTGGAGAGAGCCGGATGCATGACAGAAATAAGCCTTTGCTCTGCTCCAGTCTGCTGTTGCTTTCTTTTGCAATTAAGCTTAAGTTTGCACTTTGAAAGCCTCTCTCTCGCTCTCGCTCTCGCTCTCTCTTTCCCTTTCTCTCGCTCTATCTATGGCTCTAGCCGTATCCCTTTGCCACTTGGCTTTGTCAAATCAAGCAATGCAAATTCTTTTCAAGTGCCAAATAGCGTTGGCAGTGGCTGCCTTGCTGCCTGGCTGCCTGCGCTTCAGCAGCTTGTTAGAGTTACAACAATTGCAATCAGGCGACACAAAGCCAGCGCGCAGGCTGCTGGGGGGAGTCGCGGTGCCAAAGTCGTTAGCGACACTTCGGACAGACACGAAAGACGGACCCAAGCGCATATGCAACTGCATCTTCATTCTGCTGCTACTTATGCATGTACATGTGTGTGTGTGTGTGTGTTTTTTCTAACATGTAAATGAATGACTGAAGACTGTGTAGACTCTCTCCAGCACTTTGGGGACTAAGCAACCGCTCGACGTGTGCCACTGCGATATTCAAATCTGAAGTATCTCCGCAGTCTGCGCTGAAATTGGCATCTTTTACCTGAAGCAGCGAGTCTTTAGGCACACGTTGTGGCATGCCACACATGCAACATTACCCTCCATTAAATGCCCACTCCGTGAGAGTCCTCGCGTGAAGCGAAAACTTGTCCAGTCTTTGTTTATGCGCATACCAATCAGAGTGGTTGTTGTGTGGAGTCAGGTCAGGCTTCCATCTTGCCCCAATCTTGCACGTGTGCCACATTTGGGGGCAGAGATCCGGCTGACAGCATCAGATGGGCACACACACGCTTGCATTATTTATGTATAACGAATGAGTGGCACAACTCCTCGCAAAAACAACAAAAGAGGCAAGACGTGCCCACTAGCCCCCACGATATCCGGATATCTGTGTCTAGAATGAAGATGTACGGCAGCATCACGGACCGACGAAGGATGCGAGAAGTTAGGAATTCATAATGTTTATTTATATGCGGAACATCCATCGAGAGTGCGAAAGGCAGTCGTCCCGCCATCGCATCTCATCTCAGCATCCTCCGTGTATTTGAAGACAACGAACGGCAAACACTGCGTATGCGTAATATATGCACTTATCCATCAAGAGAGGCACCACCAGAAGCAGCAGCAGCAGATGCTGCAGCTGCAGCTGCAGCTGGCACTTCGCCATTTCGAGACTGGCATTAGGTAATAGCTGCTCGACGCACAAACCGGCAATGGGGAGCCACCACACAGCACGGCAGGGACACGGCAGGGACACGACGGTTATACGGACGGACGGACAGACGGACACCTGTCAGTCACTCAGTCATAATTTGCATACACTAGGTACTGGTGTGGCAGATGCAGCAGCAGCAGCAGCAGTCTCTCTCCTGCCTCAAGCAAAAGCTCTTAGAGAGCTCAAGTTAGGCTTAAAGGCAGGAAAGAAACGAAGAACGGGATACCCTTGCTAATAAATATTGCTAGGGCACTATTGCACTTCTAATGAGCCGCAAAGGCAGAGTTTTGTCTTTGCAACACCCAACTTATTAATAACTAGTGTAATTATCGAGAAACTGTGCTTAAGGTTTAGTTCAGAATACCCTTAGAAAGTGTATAAAGCGCAGGAGCACCGGAGGAGTGTCTAATATGCCAAGGATAGCTCTCCATAAGTAGCAGTCTCGGGAGCCACGCGCTTCTTGTGAAATATTTATTATTTCGCCGCAGTTCTGGTAGCTCTCTTCATTATCCTATTTCTTTGCCACACACTCAGTTGCACCCACGCACGTCACCGTAATGGGACCTACAGAGGCGCGCGTCGGCGATGTTGTGCCACTGACATGCAACACAGCGCCATCGAATCCACCTGCGGAGATCAAATGGATGGTGGGCGGACGGCAGGTGCGCAACACAACCTTCAGCAAGATTATCAGTCCCGAAGGTAAGTGCTACCATAACCCCCTAACCATTCTACATCTACATCTCTGCCTGTCTGTCCTTGTCGCTGTGTGTCATTGCAGGCGGTTGGACGAGCACCTCCAACATCACCGCCATTGTGGAGCCCCACAAGCGCTCCCTGGTCGTCATCTGCCACGGCCTCAACATGCAGCTAACGGAGAATGTGGTCTCCACGCACACGATCAATGTTCTGTGTAAGTTACCAACCAAAATGCCACCCTCTTAGCTGTAGTCCCACGGGAGGCGTCACCTTTTAGTTCCCTTCAAACAGGATCATGGCAGATTGTGTCAGTTTTTGTTTCGACATAGAAGTTCTCTTTTGTATCTTTTCTGTTTAGTTTTGTGTGTTCTTTTTTGCAAATGGCAGAACAGCCGCAATATTCCGAATTTCCGCACTGCGTGACCGAGTCCACGCGGGAGCTGGTGCGCATGGCCAAGGAGGCGAAACTGGCCGCCGATCTGGAGGCCAGCAGCAAGAAGGCAGCGCTCAAGAAGGCGGCGGGGCAGAAGGCACACCGCATGCCGGCCATGATGGAAATGTATAAGAAGATGTGGAAGACGCATCGGGAGCGGGTGAAGAGGGCCGTCAGCAAGCTGGACTCGGAGCCGCCCAGTTTTCAGGCAGCTCGTGTCACCGGCATCAATGGGCTGCGGGACGAGGCGTATGTGTTCATGAATCGCACAAAGCAGAACATTCAGCTGCTGGTTGAGATTTCGCGCATAATGCGCACCCACGGGACGGTGAATCCCTTTCGGTACGAGCAGACGTACGCCATGTCGGGCATTCCGATGGCCGTTGCCAATTTGGAGCGGCTGGAGCGCGAGAACAAGGATCTGGGCAAGCGCCTTCTGGACGTACAAAGCGTTGTGGACACGGGCCTCGACAGGAAGACGCGGCACGGCCAAAAGCCAAAGAAAATCGTGGAAATTCCCCTGGAGCTGCCCCTCGAGGCGCTGGCCAAGTACAAGGACTTCAACATTCAGCTGCCGGAAGCCGATGCGGAACGCAAGCGTCTCCTCCGGCCGCGCATCTACTTCGACATGTACCTAAAGGATGCCCGCCCTCTGGGCCGGATTGTGGTGCAACTATACACGGAGGCGGCCCCCCTGGTGGTCCTGCAGATGGTGCGCTCCTGCCTGTGCAATCAGGCGAGCAAATTTCTCGTGAAGCGCCTCTTTCCCACTCTCTGGCTGGAGGCGGACCTGCAGCTGGCGCCGGACTCGCTGCTCCACCAGCCGCTCGAGTACGATGCCAAGGTGATCGATCATGGCCAATACAATAACGTGCTGTCCTTCAGCAAATCGCACTGCTCGGGCTTTCCCGAGCGCCTCTCCTTTGCCATATCCTTCAAGCCACTGACAGTCGTAAATGGCACACGTGTCGGCTTCGGGCGCATTGTCAAGGGCAGCAAAATCTGCGAATGCATCCAGAGCTATGGCACCAAGAATGGCAAGCTCAGCCGTGGACTGCTCTTCACCAGCTGCGGCCTGCTCTAGGCAGCTTTAAGGATACCCCCAAAATCTCTCTGTGCTTATCGCTCGTCACGAAATTGTTTGTTCGATAAATCCTTGATGTCTCTACTCGTTTTGCTGGTCGTTTCCTATATTCACACTTTATGCTCCAGCGGACACAAATAAAGGTCCAATTAGAGGCTACATGGCCGTCGCCACACAACAAATGCAAGTGTCCTGCGACTCCATTATCCAATGTTAGATGTCAGTCTTCATTTGGCTCAATTATATGAGGCATTTTGTGTGGGGGATAACATGGGGTAAGGGCAAATAGGAATGGGAGATTGGGTTTGAAGACGGTGCCACCAAAAAGGGAGAGCGGAGGAGGAGGAGGCGGAGTGCTTTTCGTTGGCTTATTAATAATTGCGATTTTTGGTTTCGGCTTATCCAGTCGGCCAGCAGCCCTCCCTGATTCATGTTTGTGTGCGCTCTCGGGCCTCCAGCAGCGCTAATTAATTTCCCTGACCAACAGCACAGAGAGAGAGAGAGAGAGAGATTTACACTGTGACCATCCACAAAAAAGCACTGCCCAGAATGACTAGCAGGCCCCGAAGGTAATGAGCAAAAGATCCAATCCAACACGGCCGCGCCTCCCTACTCGGACAGAGCACTCCACGAGGCATTCAAGGGAGCCTTAAGGATGCGGGCACCCTGCAGATATTTGTACTTTATGCGCGGCAAATTAAATAATTTTAATTTTTATTGTTTGCTCCACAGCGCTCCAGCACGACACAGCGGTGGGTCCCTGGTCCTAGTCCTTGGCCATTTTCTTGTAGGCCATAAATTGTTGGCCTCGTGGCCAAGTTTGTTCCTTTCTTTTTTTGGGTGTGTAGCTGCTGCTCTTTTGTTGGTCTTGTGTCTGTTTTTTCTTTCTGTCTTTCAGTTTTCTTTCTGCGGCGACAAACGTTTTTCTCATGTCACATTTTGCTCTTTGTTTGTTTTGTCTTGTGCAGATCCTCCCGCACCGCCATTAATTTCCGGCTATATAGAGGGACAAATTATACCGGCTGGCTCTGTGCAAAAACTCCTTTGCGTTTCATCAGGCGGCAATCCGTTGGCGACGCTCACGTGGTACAAAAACGACAAGAGGGTGAGTGGAAAGCTTCCCTTTTTTGCTGCAGCACAAACACACACATAGACACATAGACACATAGACACCCGCACAAGGAACAGCAACAGAAAGCACTATCAACACCCAGGCCACAGCAAACATCCGCAAAACAATAATGGCGCTTTTGTTGACCATTTCCGCTTCCGCTTTATGGGCTTAAAGTGCTAATGAGGCCACCCACCCAGCAGCCGCCCGCCACATGCTATCTGTGGGCCCCAGGGCTCTTTGAGCGCGAGCCAGCAGAAAGAACCACGGAAAACATTGGAGGTTTCACACCTTCCAGCGCCAACAGCATGTAGTTATCATAGAGATAGAGAATGTCCGAGCTAGAGCGGGGCAGCAAAAGCAGGACATCAAATGCATTCCGTTTAGATAATTCGATATTAGATATTCCGAAATAAATCAATTTTCAACTGATTAAATTGAATTTAAATACTTCTGCATTCAAATGAAATAACAATAATTATTTGCATGTGCCAAAATAAGATTTTGTGTCAAGTTTTTCATGCTGAATGTTACACACAAAACAGAAACATATATTTTCACTTGATAGTTGAGTGATTTTAGAACAGAATACGCTCCAAGATCAGGCTGCAGCTGCTTGTGATGCATGCCACAAGCGCAGGGCATAGTAAACAGCAAACCACAGCTGCTGCTGCTGCCTGCATATTTATACAAGGGCTGTGTGGCAGTTGCAGGTGCGACGACTCCCCACGGGGAGTTATCCGTGTCCACTGTGTGTGCCCACAGATGAAATGACATTTTAGCCACAATATTAAAATGCAATGCACCCATGGAGAAAACACAACACACGACCATAGCTCTGCGACCAAAACAGTAACCAAAAACGCTTCCTCCCCTCCCCACCAGATCAATTCGGTGATACGAGCGGCAGACAAGTCTGTTTCGGCGGAAATCACCATCCTGGCGAATGTGACGGACAACCAGGCGCAGTATCGCTGCGAGGCCTCCAACAGCGCCACAGAAATTCCACTCTTTCAGTCCACGACGCTTAGCGTGCATTGTGAGTAGATGCCGAGACGACCATTCCACATTATTCGTGGCTCTATATACGCCCTCTTGCTCTCTTTCGTGCTCTGTTGCAGTTGCCCCGGAGACGGTCAAGATACGCATTGAACCGGAAGAGCTGCGACCTGGCATGCAGGCAGCCATCATCTGTGACTCCAGCTCCAGCAATCCGCCAGCGAAGCTCTCCTGGTGGAAGGATGGCATCCCCATTGAAGGTATGTACCATGTGTACCATGGCCATTTTGGCAATTGGAAATTTGCCCATTCGCCATGGACTTGGCGGCGCCTGTAATGCACTTTCCAATCCCCTTCTGTCTGTCTGTCTGTCTGTGTTTTGCTGCTGCTGCTGCTGCTGCTGCGAGGCGTTGCCACGAGACAGCATCCGTTTTGCTTGCCAGTCACTAAAATTACGCTCTGCTTTTTGCTCTATCCACAGGCATTAATAACACATCCAAGCCGGGGCTCTGGGGCGGCACAGTATCCACGCTGGAGTTCAGGGTAAACATCACACAGGAAATGAACGGCGTGGTCTACACTTGCCAGAGCGCCAACGAGGCATTGCAGCGCAGCGTCCACGAGGCCATCAGCCTGGATGTCCTGTGTAAGTCCGCTAATTGAGCAATTAGTTAAGAAAGATCCCAATGTGGACGAGCCTTCTTCCCCTTAGATCGGCCCAAGTTCGTGCCACCGCCCTCATCGACAGCCGTCGGCGTGGAGGGTGAGTCGCTCCAGGTGGCGCTCCAGACGAAGGCCAATCCGACAACGGTGGAGTACAAGTGGACCAAGGATGGCAGCACGATACCGCAGGGCGGCGAGCATCGCATCTTTGCGGACGGCGGCAGCCTCAACTTCTCGCGGCTGCATCGCGACGATGCGGGGGTCTACTCGTGCAGCGCCAGCAATACGCAGGGCAAGGCCACGCTGAACATCACCGTCGTGGTGGAATGTGAGTGTTGTGTGGAGAGACGGGAGACGGGAGACGGGAGAGTCACGAGAGGAGCAATAATAATCGTGGTCTCAATTCTACAGATGGCACCACCATTAAGGCCGTGTCGGAGAACATCATTGTGAATCCCGGCGAGGACGCGATGCTCTCGTGCAGCGTGGAGGGGAAACCGCTCACCGAGGAGCATGTGAAGTGGGAGCGCGTGGGCTATGACATGACCGTCAAGACATCGACGACCTTTGCCAATGGCACCTCCTATCTGCACCTCAAGAATGCCCAGCGCGAGGATGTGGGCAATTTCCGTTGTGTGGCCGACAATCGAGTGGCCAATCCCACCAATCGAGATGTCCTGCTCATTGTCAAATGTAAGTTGCAATCTAATCAATGCCGCACCCTTTACCCCCCCTCCGTCTTGTGTTGCAGTTGCTCCGGAGATAACCAAGTCACCGACCATGATGCGAGCGGCCAGCGGTACGGGGGAGCGGGGCAGGCTGCCATGCCGTGCCCAGGCATCTCCGAAGCCGCAATTCATCTGGCGGCAGGACAAGAAGGATCTGCCCATCAATCGCACCTACAAGTACGAGGTGGAGGAGCGCAAGATAGACTCCCTGACCTACGAGTCCGCCCTCATTGTCGACAAGGTGGCGCCCGCCGACTACGGGGCCTACGAGTGCATTGCCCGCAACGAGCTGGGCGAGACCATTGAGACGGTGCGCCTGGAAATTACCTCACAGCCGGATCCACCGCTCAGCCTCAACATACTGAATGTGACCCACGATGCCGTCACTGTGGCCTGGACACCTGGCTTCGATGGTGGCCTAAAGGCCTCCTATCGTGTGCGCTATCGGTATGTGTCAATGGAAATGAAAGAGGGCAAGGGAGGTCTAATGCACACTCCTGCATACCAACCACTGCGAATCTGCAACTGCAACGGCAACGGCAACATCATCTCATTTCTCATTTGCAGAATCGTCGACCGGGAGCAGTACAAGTACATTGATGGGCTGCCGAATAGCCACAAGCTGACCATCGCCGGACTACGCATGGATACACTCTATCTCTTCTCGGTGATGGCATGGAACGAGCTCGGCCAGAGCGCCTACCTGCCGGACCTGACGCGGGCCCAAACCAAAGGTAAGCGCACCCTGGCCCTGGTACTACACTGCCCTGACTATGCGGAGTAGTATTGAAAATAGCCGCGAGTCCTGTACTCGAATCTGTGCTCCTGTCCCGATGCTGACATTGATTTATGCAATTCCGCCAGAAAGCTACATGGCCGGCCGGTAGGTATCACAGCGATTCAGCTGCCGCACGGCTTATACAGCGGTCTGGGCCGGTCAGGTTTGTTGTCATGAACCGTCAACCGTCGAATCAATTATGCATCCCTCACGGGATGTAGGCTGTAATCAGCATAATTACTTGCCAGTGGAATGAGAGTAGATAAAGGATGAATAGGATGCCACACACAAGCTCCACTAATTGCACCAAAATGCGAAGACAGTCAAAGACGAATAGAGTTTGTTTTTTAGATCGTTACAAGCCGAGAGAGTTTCATTTAGGTTCTACCACTGTAGTGGGTCCACGAACTATCGATTTTGCAGCTAAATTCTTAGAATGATGGAGAGACTAACATAAATATTTCCTTTGCACAAAATAAGCTCAAAGAATTAATGCAGTTCCTAGAACAGAAACACTTTACCAGAGACCGTAGAATGAAAGGAAAGAAGGACAGTTCTTAGAATAAAAGGTTAGAGGCCAAACTGGAGTATAATTGGCCGTGGAATCACATGGATTCTTGAGATCCTTTGGGCCAGTAATGTATTTTTCGCCTGCTATGTCCCTGCACTCAACAACAACGTTCTCCATTTAACCCATTTGCTGCACTTAATTGGAATTGTATTATGCACTCATCAACAACGACAACGACAACGACAACATCTAATGGACATTGCTGGAAAATGGACAATGGACACAAGCAGAGGCGCCACCGCCCTCACAGCCGGCATCATCGCTGGGCGGCGGACCACCAACCACCAGCCAGACCCCATTGGGCGGCACATCGGCCATGCTGCTGGTCGGAGTCGGTGCCGGCATTGTTGTTGTGCTCCTCAACGTGTTTGTCATCGGCTGTTGTCTGCACAAACGGAACGAGAAGCGGCTCAAACGTGGTATGCTACGTGGTTCCTCCTGTTCCTTGCTGCCGCTGCTGCTGTTGTTTCTTTGCTGGAAAATAGGGAGCTACAGAGGTTAGAGTAAGGGGGGCATTTGAATTTATAATAGCCGCGACCCAATGTCTCTCCTTTGTCGGGTGCACGGGCTCCTTTTAATTTTGTGGGCGTTGCCCGGGACACGGACACGTGCCGTGTGGCAGCGTCGTGGTCAAACGTTGGCCCAGGGAATGCGCTGACGATGGCGATGGCGTCGCTAATTTCATTTACCATCCACATGTTCGCTGGAGTGTGGGGGGTGTGGAGGGTTGTCTACTACGTGATTTGCGTCACTCGGTGGCTTCTTTATTTGATTTGGCTGCTGCGTGCGCCTCGCCATGGCAACCGGACCCAAATCCCCACTGGAAGTCCAGTTGGGGGCATCCATTTGGAACTGCGATGTCGCGTTCAGTTCTTATATTTTATTCCCTTTGATATATGTATTATAGTCTATGTACTTTTTGTCATTTCGCATTAAGTATTTATTTATTGTCTACTTTTATTTTATTTTATTTTATTCCCTTTCTTTTTTTTGTATTTTCATGGTCTGTTCGTTTTGGGTTCTTTTGTTTTTGCCGCAAGGACTTGAATTGATGCCAGCGGAGTTGAGCGAGGACTCGGCGGCGGGTAACATACCGAACCTGGTCATAATTGGCATCTCCCTGGCGGCCTTCGGCTTTCTGCTGGTCAATGCGGCCCTCGTCGCCTGGTTCTTTGTGCATCAGCGTCGCAAGAAAGGTTCGTTTCATTTCATTATTCCTTGTTCTTATTCGTTTTCTCATAATTTATGTAGTTTATGCTCGTTGCCTTTGCCATTGCCAGTTGCTGCCTCTTGATTATATTGTATTCCGTTTAATTTGAGTTCTTACGAGCGCAAGAGCAAGAAAGCGAAGAGGCATGACATGACAGTCGGCACCACTTCCGTGACACCGCCGGATGCGGATACGGATGCGAATGCGAGCGCGTTGTGCAGCTTCCGATGGGCCACAAGATACTCTTGTGAATGCACTAAACAATTTCCTGCACAATCCCATATTCCAGCGGTCAAAGGGATAAGCCCGCTCATATCTGCCGCATATGCTAGAGAGCGAAGTCTTGCAATTTCCGTGGGGGCAACCAAGGCCGAGAGCATGGCATCTTCCACATCTTCTACGAGCAGACAACGCAAGACAAGAATATAATGATGACAGAAAATAATGATGCATCCTGGACCCCCAGGCAGACAGACAGACAGACAGACAGACAGACATGGAGCTTAGCCCGAAGAAGTTCCCTGCCACTCTGCCACTCCTGGGGCAAGACAAATGTGCATCGTTTTCTTAGCTGAATGCACAATCTTTCCGAAATCAGATTGCTTTCTCTGCAGACAGCAGGAAGAGAAGTCAGGGGGCAAGCACCATACAGCAGGGAGCACGTGTCGACAAGTGTTGGACATGTTTGCCAGCTCCTTGCAGCTGCATCCTTGCAGTCTTGAGTTGAGGATTGTTTAATAATATAAAATTATACCTCAAGCGGGCCGCCACTCCTTTAGGCAGAGCAGAGCAGCCAGTCACACCCAAATTCGACCCAATTCGTGGGCTGTTGACTGTGTGGCATAACTGGCGTATACGCAATATGCCAGGCTACGAATCGCCAATAGTACGTGCCGCATGCCTGCACGCAGCATCGAGTGGCATTGCGCTGGCTAACCAAATTATTTCCACAGCCAGAACGTTGCAAGCGAACCAAGAATGAGGCAACCAAGAGCAAGTTCTTTCCACTGCTAGTTTTTATGTGTCTTTTACGCTCAACAAACGACCAAAGGATACAAATGTAAATACATATGTTTGCTCGAGTTTGCATAAGTGTGTAGAGGGGGAGTGTTGCTGGCAGAGTTAATCGTAGGCAACAGTAGGGCAATGTAGGCCAGCAATTTTTGACATTTACAAACGAATAGGCAGCGCGTGAACGACTCACGAGAGCTGCAGTTTGCAGTTGCATTGGCCGCCTCAGTTACAGTTACAGCTGCAGGGCATACATAAGATATTTTACCCAAGCAGAGCTCTGCTCAAACGAGAGGAACCGTCCCAGCCATAGACTCCATTATTTCTGTCTTTCATTTTCAGTAGTCTCTGTGTGTGTGTGTGTGTGTGTGTGTGTGTGTGTGTGGCACAATGGAGATGTTGCTACTGCTGCTGAGGGGCACGAATGCACACTCACGACAAATCCACACAAAGGGAAATTCATATTTCAGTAATGCTACAAAAGCAAATCAAAGTAGAAACTAACCGAAGCTACAGCTACCCTTTGACTGCCCGATGGCTTATGGGGCTAGCCAATACGAAACATCAGAAAAAGCAAAACACACAAAACAACGGCACCTTCGATATTGCTTTTGTGCACTCCAACTCAAAGCAATTATCATTTTTGTCGTCTCTTTTGAATCCGTTATTCGCGGTCGATCACTCAAGCCAAAAGCTGCTGAAGCCAGCCCGTCGCTTGCGTTTGTCTTCGCTTGTCTTCGAGATCTGGTCTCTCTCTCTCTCTCTCTCTCTCTTACTCCCACTCTTGCTCGTACTACTTAAAAACATGAGAGATGCATGAGAAAAATACTTTAGCGAAATGCTGTGCATGGGGTACATGACTTGGAGGCTATTTGGGAGCTGTGTATGCATGAGCAGAGTACATTATATAATAATAATAATCCCTTTAGAAGGGTATAAAAAGGCAGAAGGAAGAACCCGAACAAACATTTTCATGACAATGCACGAAGAGTGGAGTGGCACTCAACCCCTAGGCACAGCCCCCAACCCACTCACTCTCCTTTAAAAGCCGATAACTGACAATGCCCAAAAGGATTTCTTTTTACTTTTCCCGTTTTTCATTTTCCCTGTTCCAGTTTTGTCATATTTTTATTATTATTTTTTTTTTTTTGTTATAAATATTTTCTGTGGAGTTGTCAGTGGAGAGGAGAAACTGTTGGTGCGTTGGCCAAGCAAGCCAGCCAGCGGGTGTGGTGGGAGGGAGGCGTATGCAAGGTCCTCCGAGATGGAGAATATTTCTCTTTGCATATTTCAATGTATTATTATTCGCTGGCGAGAAACTTGACTGGTGTTTGCCGTAGCCCTTGGATATGCATTTTTAATGTGCATTCGTGCTATTGTGTCAAAAATTCATCCGCAACTCCAGCTCGCAGCTCGCAGCTCCCAGCTACGGCCCGGCCCGGCCCGGCCCAATCTCATCTCATCTTGTGGCAGCTGCCCCCAGGCACCACCCCAATTCTCCGCCATCTACAAACGGATAATCGACCAAACGACTGACCGCAAAGCTCTGGCTAGGCTAAGAAGCCTTTCGCTGTAGTTGTCGCTCTTTCTCTCTCTCTCTCTCTCTTTCTGTCGTCCCTGTACCGATGAACTATGCCAAAAGTCTGCGGTTGGCAGCTGGTCCAGTGGTCCAGTGGTCCGGTCATCGACCACTGCCACCGCGCGGCATCTCCATCGCCACCGCGAACAAGTGAACACACTGCCACATTGCCCCAGCGTGGCAACAGAGTGGGAGCCAGTTGGTTATCGGTGTCGGTGTCGGTGCTGGTGCTGGTGCTGGTGTCCAGTGCCACATATTTCATTTTTTGTATGTGCTGTGGACCCTGATCCTGAGCCTTGAGCCTGTCCCATCCTGAATAGCGTCATTTCTAATGTTTATGGCCATTCGCTGGCTCCCTCAAATCTATAGGTTTCTACACTTGGCCGCACAAGAGGGCCCAAATCGAGAAATATGTTCTAGCTACAAACGATTCAGCTAACTTTTTCCACAGTGCATGGTAATAGATGGCACGGCAGCAGTTGGAAAAAAGTCGTCTGCAGTGCAGAGCGTTAAAAGATATTTGCAAAAAAAAAGTGCACAATGAGAGAGGCTCGTCTCCCGGAATATACATAAATACATGCAAAGTACATACATATGTATCCGTATGTACATAAAAACCCTTCTCCTTGCTGGCCCAATGTAACCTGATCAAACTGTCCCAGCAGCACTCGTCCTAGTGCTTGACGAATAAAGCAGTGCTGCTGCGCTGTGTGTGTTTATTATCTTAGTGAGAAAGTCAGTTTCTTTTAGAGTTTTTGGGCAGCGCAAAAGGTAGGCAGGCCCCAGTGGGGGGAAAGGCTTATTTAGTGGAGAGTTCTGTTGGGTTGAGTGGCGCAAAAATAAAATTGCAAACAACCCGATCCGTGGAATAGACTTTTTAGAAGAGAGTGTGCGACACTTTTACGACTTGGCGAGTCGAAACTTTTATGCCAACGTGGCGTTGCTCCTGGCGATAAGGCAGGCAGAATTCCCCCACTGACCACTTTGAAACTCTATTCAATCCGATGGACTTTTGGCGCAGGCAGCCCCTAAGTCCAGCACTTGACTTTGACACTCTTTAAACAATTGACGGTGGATGGGGACTGGCAGTGAAAATGGAACTGGATTCGGGTTTGGGTTTGGGGCGTACGTAAAAGGAGGAGAGAGAGCGAGAGCGAGAGAGAGAGAGAGAGCAATCTGCAGAGATAAGCGCTCGGGCAAAGAGCAGAAGCACAAGCAAGAGGACTGCTGGGTCAGCAATGTCGAAAACTTTGCTGCTTAGGACGTTGTCCCTAGACACCTACTGCTAACAGCCACCACACACCACCTTCACATTCTCCAGCGCCCACATTCTGCCTGCACTCTCCATTCGGAGAAGGAAATCATAAATTCTGAAGAGCAAAGACAAAAGCAAGAAATAACTCAGCTCGATTGCAATGCACTCGCTGGCATTCAAATGACCGAATGGAAAATGAACAAAAAAACACCAGCAGATAATAGAAGTTTCTGCGAGGAAAGGGAGGCGGCTCCTGCCTCGTCCAAGGACGAGCGAGAGATTATAGAATAAGACCTTCAAAGCAGACGTTTCGACTGCCACTGACGGTGGCGTCATTAGCGACCACAGGATCTCTCTGTAAGCTGTGGCTCAAAAACACATACAACAATATGGATGTATTCATGTACACACACGTACCTATGTACATATATTTTCGGGGAGAGCGCAAAAAGCAAAATAAATCCGCTGTCCCATGGTCACTTGCTCCAAACACTGTGCGGGCGGGAGGACTCTGTGACCTGAAGTTCTGGTTGCCAGCATAAGTGCAAAATATGTTTGTGTGTAATCTCTTTCTATGCGGCGGGAATAGTCCCCCCAGACGGACGCTGAATGCGGATGTTGATGCGGATACGGATTATTTGGCACATCTGTGCGCTGGCCCAGTGTGTGTGTGTGTCAATGTGTGGGGGAGGCCCGTGTGGCCTGGTTAATACCCTAACCAGAGGTTCCTGTCGAGGCATGTCTGTCTGTTCGTTACGTCTGGGATCTGTCAGAGAAAAAGAATTAGCCCACGAGTGTAAACCGATGGATGTAAATTGGTTGACGTATTATGTAAATAAATATGCTAGGAGTGTTTGATTTCCCTCGCACCTTTGTAACCCACAAGTCAGTGCTTGGTAGAGACTCTATGGGGCTTAGCAACCATTCTGTTTATGAATACAATCTCTCACTCGCTCTTGGAGCAAGGTTTTTGTTTCTAATTGCTTTAATTGGTTAAAGCCATGTCTATTACTTTACCCTTCACCCCAAATATTTAGGGAATCATCACATTTTGCCATCATAAATAGAATAAAAACAAGTGAGAAAAGCCATAAAAAGGATTTTCACTCCCTAAGCCATTGGCTCCACTCAAATGTGGGGGGGTTTCCACTCATTGAATGTGTGAGTGTGAATGTTTAAGTGTGTGTGTGTGTGTGTGTGTGTGTGGGATATCTCATGCATTTAAACACTACTAAATCCAAATGCTGCAGCTGTTTATTACCACACACAGACATTGCAGTCGATGCAATTAAATGCATTTTCAATTTTTAATTACACATTTATGTGGTTATGTTTGTACCCTAGGAGAGGCTATTCAAATATTATTGGCTAAGACGTTCCTTGCCCAATTTACATGCACATATGGTCGAAAAAGTGCGCAAAGCAAAACAAAATTGTAAACATAATCGAAGCCGCTGTGAACATCCAGTCCTCCGCACAGCAAAAAGAAAGGGTATCTGTATGAATACTAACAGCAAGCTTCGGCATGCCAACAGTTGTTTTCCTGAGGCGTATACAAACATATGTATGTATGTGTGTAAGTACATACACTTATACATAAATGCATATGTTTAATGAATTAAAATCCAATGCGTGCAAACGTTATTAAAATCATAAAAAATGTATTTGAAAGCAACCAACAAGCAATCCAACAACAATTTGAAACTAAAGAGGGGAAGTTGTGTAAGTCGATGAAAAAATGTGTTCATTCGAGTGTGTGTGTGTGGATGTGTGCAGATATCATGGGAATTGGTAAAAGCAGAGCAAAACGAATTTCATTTTCAATTTGTTAAATATTTACGAGTATTACGAGCGAGTGTACATTGTATGTGTACATATGTACGCTTATGTGCGTGTAGAAGACATGCCTTTTGTTTGATAGTGGCCCCAAATTAACAAAATACCTAAAGCAATTCTGCATGAGATGGGGCTAATAGTTGCCGCATGTCACGTAAACGAAGAGTACGTGCCACCAATCCACCCACACAGGACACGGGAGAATGTATTATTAAGAAACCGTTTGGCCATAATCTTTTTCCTGGAATGGCCAGGACAACGACAACGACAACGGCAACGACAACGATGGCCATAGCGATGATGATGATGATGATGGCGATAGGCGGCAGAGTTAGTGTCCATTTACCTATTGGCAACATAGTGCCCCACCCCCCCCCCCCCCCCCCCCCCCCCCCCCCCTACCCTACCAAAGAGGCGTGGGGCACACGTGTCAATGGCTTTCTCGTTTCTTGTTTTTTTTGCTGACTCGAAATCGTTATAGATTTGTGTATGAAAATGTATCGAAAAGCAGCAACAGCAAGGAACAATGGCAATTTGCAACTGAAAAATGTTTCATAATATTTACCATAACATATTTCTTACATTTCTTACATATCTCTCTTTCATATGTGCTGGAACACTCAAATGGAATGGAATTTGAACAAATACACCAACTTTGGCATGTGGCATGTGGCAAACACTTGTTAATTATTGCGTAAATTATTCCATAAATGATTAAATTTGAATTTTTACAACTTGTTTTTGCTGGAACTTCTGCCTGGCACATTACGACTTTATGTACTTTTTTCACCCTTCCCTCTCTCTCTCTCTTATTGAACTGCACAACATCAACGAATGGCTGCTGCAACAAATGTGAATAATTTAAAACAATGGCCTTTCCCCCCACCCAATGCTTTCACATCGGCACTGCAACCCCACCCAAAACTCCCAAACTCCCATTAACCCCGCCGGCTTTAACCGCACCCCTTTAATCCACTCTCATTCGTTGGTTTCCTCTGGGTCAATGGCATTCTTGGCTATTTGCATTTGATTTGCATCGCCTGAAACCAACATAAAATTGGCCCAATGCCACCTCAAAATGCCATCACCTTCCAATTGGTCTCCGGCTCTGGCTCTGTGTATCTGTGGTGCTGTCTCTGGCCCTTTCCGCCTTTACTCCATTTTTCCATGATGTCGTCCCCAATCATCAATTTTCGGAATGTCACTGCCAATTACACCTTTTCAATATTTGTGCACTGCCGCCGCTCCAACGTTCCAACGTTCCAACGTGCATCTTTTTGCTACACGTTTTTCGTGGCATTTTTTTTTTTGGTTTTTGGTTGCCGCCGGGCAGTGTCGGAAACTACAAATCAACCAGGAAAAACGGCAACCATCGAGATGTACGCGCCCAGTTCGTATAATGACACCGTCACCGGCGAGACGCTGTCCAGCGTTTCGGAGAAGAGCGAATCCTATTCGAATGAGGGCGGCAGCCAGCCGGAATATATTGTGAGTATACACCACGAGTCTCTCTGTGCATCCTCGAACTATTTTTTAGTTCCATTTTTTGTTGTCGAGGGGCATGAATATGCAATTTGTGAATGGAACAAACAAAATACACAAAAAAAAGGGATAAAAGGAGAAATGAAAAGAGGGATAAAAAGAAGTCTGGCATTTTTGGGCAGTTTTCCATGATGATGAGTCCAAGTGGATGTCTTGCTGGGGTACCAAGAGGAGCCGCACTTTGGCTTTTAAGCTATTACCAATGCTTGAGATGAAAGATTCAAGGACCAACGGCAGGAAGTGCCAAGAGCCAAGAGCCAGGAGACGAAGCGAGGCGGAAACGGAAGCGGCATGCCTCGAACGTCGTCGCTAAGACGTCGTGATTAATTACGCGACGGCTGATGATGATGATGAGGACCAACTCTGGTACTAACACTGAGAATTACAATAAGAATGAGCAAGAATGAGGCCTCTGGCTGCTGCAAACAAATCGTTTCAAATTATTAAAATCATTTATTATCGCCCGTAATCTTGAAGCGGCAGCAAAACCGCAGCAAACGGCCTCTAAAAAGAGCTGCAGGGGCACACGAGGCTCTGGGCGCTGATTTGGCGCCTGTGAAGTATGTAAAGTGCGTAAACTGCGACCGCGCGTGTTATAAATCAGACAGAGCCCGGCCGCTGCTGCTGCTGCTGCTGCTGCTGTCCCGTCGCCGTCCCGCGTGTCGCCACTGTCATTGTGGCTGTCAATTACGCGCCAACGACTTTCAACGCCTTTTTTGCCACAGAAACTAAAGGCCAAAAGTAATTACGGGGCATTGCTCAAAACGGGGAATGGGATAATAAATATAGGACATGTATGTATAACTCTCACACTCTTTTTTCACTCTCTCTCTCTCTCTCTCTTTAGGATGAAGCACGAAAAAAGGCGGCATCAACATATCTGGTGGAGGGCGCGGATATGCCACCACCCAGATACCAAAAGGATGGCACACTGCCAGTATTATATCCGAATAATATTGGTAAGTCAATGGAGCTAGCTCTGCTCAATAAAATAAGCCTTTAGATAATTAACTTTCGAGCTGTACAAAATAAAAAAGTTCGAGCAAGTTTTCACGAGTGCTGCCTGCACGTCAGTGCAGAGACCCTGACCCCTGCCTGATCCCTGACCCTCTGCTCAATCCAGAGCCCTTCTCCCCACCCCTCTGGGCAGAGTTGCACTCGTTTCGGCTTGATTTTTGTGCCATGATTGCAGCGCAATCAAAGCAAATGTAAGAGAGCAAAAAAAAAAGGGTAACGGAAATGCCGTTGGCTCTCAGATGCCCTTTGCAAACTGCATTGAAAAGAAAGCAGCAATTGAAACGATTAATTAATAAAAACCCTACAATCCATAAAATGATCAAAGAAAATATTCTTGCACGCATAAAACGAGTAAATATATTTATTCCACCAAGGGAAAGGAGAAACTACATAAATTGAGATAAATTACAGATCAGCGAAAAAGAGCATCAACTGAAACAAAATCGTAAAAACGAAAGAGAGAAAAATACAAAAAAAAAAAAGCGAAATCGAAACCGAAAAAGGAGCAGAGAGAAAAAGGGGAGAGTAGTGTGGGGACATGCTGAAAATTCAATTTCAGCACAGCATCTCCATCTTAATTGTAATTGAGCAGCAAAGTTTTTGTCAGAGTCTTGATTTTCAATTGATGCATGCATCGGCCTCTTCTCCTCCCCAAATGTGCATGTGTATGCGTTCGGTGTCTCTGCCACATGCCGCCCAGGCAGCAGCTACGAAATCACGTTCATGTCTGCGCTAATTTAAGGTTTGCGAATTTAGGAAGGAAAAGAAAGCACACATGAAAGTGGAAGCATAATAACCAAAGAGCCAGCAGACACAGTTACCTTTCCATCATTCTATGAAATCAATTCAAAACAACTTCTGAGAGTAACGAGAGAACAACAGCAGTGGGCAGAGAGGGAGAACCACAGCTGAGTGCAAAGAGGGGAAAGTAAGACAAAGTGAGAGTAAGAATTGAATGCATTTGAAATGCAAAAGCGTAGAAATAATACAAATACATTAGCTGCACAAAACTTATCCTCCAATGGGAATTTTCCATGCCCTATGGCTAAGGTTTGCCCCCACACAATTACCTTATGTCAACGATATGTAAATTTTGTTGTTGGTCAGATGGAGGAACTGAAGGAGAATGAGATGCTCTGCGAGCAGTCGCTAAGAAATACCAGGAATTACATAGATAGCCCCAGAACTGCCTTACCTTACTGAGGCGACACGCATAATGATGTCTGTCTGTGTGTTTGTATGTATGTCATGTTCTTTCTGCTCGCAACAAAACAAAAAGAAAACAGCGAAGGAGCAGAACAGAACAGAACAGAAAGGAAACACACGCCAAAAAATCTAAAGCAAAAGCAAGAGAGAAGGAGAGAAGAACTACCTTTTAGGGGTCTTGCAGCCACCAACGAAATATTCCCCCAACAATTCACATACAAAAATAAATTTCAAAATGTATTCTGGTTTCAGGTTGATTCTTATTGGAACAATTTCGTTTCTAAATCGAATTTCTACTAATTTGTAGATGCACAAATCGTAATACCCTTTGCGAGAGTATAAACCACTGCAAAACCAAAACAGAAATAAAAGAAGAAAAAAAGCAAAGAAAGCACCAAAAGAGCAGATAGGCAGAGAGGGGGAAGCGAGCAGGCGATAGTAAGGGGGAGGTTCAAGAGAATCCCCCCCCACGTGGCACAAAAAATTAAAATGCTTGCCGGAAGCTGAATCTCAAACAAGAGAGCGCCCAAGGCTGTTGTTTCAAGCGTGCAGATTGCTGGGAATGGGGGCAGGAGCAGAAGCAGGAGCAGGAGAAGCTGCCACCATGGCGCATGCATACAAGCTTAAGAGGGGGCGTGTTCGTCGCTCTAGCGGTTGGACGGGCGCAAGCGGAAATTGTTTTTGTTAGTTGGCGTCAAATTTTTGTTATCTCTCGGTTCTTTTTTTTTATTTTTGAATGGGATATTTTTGTGAATATAAATTTTGGGCAACCACCCCCGCTGGAGGGGCATTCACAGCTCCTCCTCCTGCCGCTCATCCCTCGCCGCAGCAACCGAAAATGCAATTGCATTTACCCCACAAAAGAAAAGAAAACGGAGGGAAAAGCTTGCACCGCACTTTTAATGAGATACTTTTCCACGCGCTGCCTTGTTAATGAGCGCCAGGAACGTGCAGCGGCAGTTGTGAGGCAGGGGAATGGGTGAGGCAACAAGTCAACTAAATCTCTGAGGCAGCCCACGACCTTGAGTGAGTGCAAGCACGCCACCCTGCGGAGTAGTGGCTTCTGGATGGTTTATTTTGGCTGCCACAAATGTTATTAATAACAAATGAATGGAAAGAATAAGATGTGGGCGGACGCTCCCCAAGTGCCAGCACCAGCCTGACCCACGCAACAATTATCCAACAAAAGCTCACCTCTCGAGGGAAAAGAGGGAAAGATCCATTGCTTTGTTTTTTTTTTCGTTTGTTTTGCCCTGATCGAAAAATCAATAATTCATGGCTCACACACACATATGCAAAGAGTAAGAAAGCCACAAGATGAACATGGCCCAAAAGAAGCTTAGGGTCCTTCTTCATTTTGTCCTTCCCTTCGATTTGTCACCGCCGACGCTGTCGCTGCTCGAACTTTTGCAACAAAATTATTGTTGCCTACTTTTGCGGGCAGGCCAAACAACAGGAAATTCAGAACATACCGCCTTCACGCTCTCTCTTTTTCGCTCTCTCTCTGCCAGTTGGAGTGGTGTGGAGTCGTGTCTTGTCCTATTTTGTGGAAAATTACAATCAAATTTGTTACGTTTGCGGGTTTTACGCCTATCCGTATGACAGCATCTCACTTGCGGTGGCAGCAGCAGCAGCATCTACTTCGTGATGTGGCTATAGCAACTCCTGGCGATACGATGTGTTGTGTGGCAAGAACCGGTGGGAATGTGTGTGTGTGTGTGTCATAGCAATTTGTCACGCCCCAAAAAAGGTGGAGGAGCCAGCTGGCAGGCAGGCAGGAAGCCAGCAGCAGCAGCAACAGTCATGGCCAGTCGACAGGACTCCATTGACATTTGCATATTTATTGGGAAGGCTTATCATGCAGTGGGCTACACAGACAGCACACCCACGCCACCCATCGTATCCATTGCAATTAATGGCCTTCGCTTTCAGTTTCTTTCCAAACGTTTGCACATGAAATCAGGCAGAACCAAACCCAGCACCAGCACCAGCAGCAGCAGCAGCAGCAGCAGCAAGGTGTTGCATCTTTTTTTATTGCTACACACTCGCACACTGCAGTGGCAAAGTGTAAACGAAACTCAATGGTTAAGACTTCTTCTGCTCTTATCTAAGTCTAACAATCTATGAAGGGAAATAAGTCAACAAAGAACGTGTTGAGGCTGATCTCAATCTCAATTGCTGTTCATAATTTTGGGGGCAATAAAACTCTTTCTTTGGGATTAATATACTTCGCTTATTAGAGTTTTTTCTATAAGTCAAGAAGTAAAGTAATATTAAATTTTATGTTTGAATAGTTTCCCATTCATTTTGAGGACTCATTCCCAATTTAGATGCAGTTTTTTTCACTCAGTGCAGATGCTTACAAATACCATCAGCATCTTCGGGCATATCTTTAACACGAAATGGCAATGCATAAAATCTGTCATTGGCAGTTTTAAAAATCGAAATTCAATGTGCCTCTTGCACCATTTGCGGTCGAGTGGCATCAGCACTTTGGCCAACAAAAACTAGGATTGGGTGGGAATGTGAGAACGAAAATCCTGCGTCAAGTGATGTGCTAAAAATTAATTTGAAAATTGTTGTTTAAGCTAATGCCACACTCTTTTATCTTCTGGGTCTACAGTGAATGCCTGCACGCTGCCACACCCGAGGCACAACAATGGTAATGCCACCGCCATCCATATGAGCCGGGATGATCAGATGCTAATCAGCAAGGGCATTTATATACCGTCCCCGTCGCCAGCGCCGCCGCCAGATGGCTCCTACTATAATATGAACAGCGACAGATATCTGTCCTATCCGCCAATGGTAAGTGCCAGAAGAGACTCCCAACTTGACTACAGCCCCACTACTTAACAATATGCAGAGATCATTGAACCGCCAATGGCAGGGGGGATTTGGCTAAGACCCAAGCTTACCCAAACAGCTGCTGCACTGGCAGCGGAAAGCTTAATTGCCCGCATCTGCAGTTACCTTCTCTGATCCGTGGCCATCTTTACCCTGCCGGCCCCAGTGCCCCAGTGCCTCATGGCCCCAGCCGTGGATTACTTCGCTCAATTAACCAAAGTTTTATAGAGGAAGACTTGGCATTTTCCATCCTGCCATGCAAAACCATGCCAGAGGGGGCTGCAGGCTCCATAAATACATGGGGTATCGATCAGGAAGAGTGCTCCCGGGAAATGCAATGGGGTAATGGAGGGAGGGTAGAGACTGTGCCAGAGAGACAGCTGCCACACCATCTCCCTGCTGTGGCATTTAACGCGCTTCGACTTTTATAATCCCCGCGCTGCAGCTTCAGTGTCCCTGCAACAGCAACAGCAACAGCAACAGCAACAGTGTAAAGACAAATGACAAACTTAAAAGCATTATAAGTAAGCTGCTCCAGCCAGAGTTTAGCTACAGCCGATGGTTGCATGCAGGCCGCTCCCCCATCAAACGACTAACGAAAAGTAAACACTATTTCCTGAAGATACATAATTTAATATCGCGCATACGCAGCGTATGGCAGCTAAAGGATAAATGCCTTTTGAGACAGAATAAAGAAGAAACCCCGGAATGTCAGCAAACATCACATAAACATCACGCACATTTTTGTATACCTTCTTTGGCTGCTTCTGTCGCATTGCAAGCCAATATAAATTCCACAAAATTTCGTAATAAACATGAGGAAATCAATTTCAGGAATTTATGTAGCGCCCTTTACGTACAGTATTTGCCCCACTGAGATTTCTGCTTGCCCCATCTTCAGTTTGTGGCTTGATGATGACTTCTGGCACTAAAGGGGTGCAAATGCGACAACATAAGACGACACTCGATGGGCGAATGACAGTCAGCCGATGGTGTCCTCTCCTGTCCTGCCCAGCTTCCAGCTTCCATTTATGTGTCCTATCAACGGCGTCGCTGACGCTGGCGCTGGCTCTCAATAATTGTATAAATTACATGATGGAGGAGCAAAGGGGGTGCGGGGAAGAACTGCAGATGTCAGATGGCAGCAGTGGCATGCCACATGCGGCACACAGACGCACGATTTAACATGGCTAATATAATAATATTTATGCTTTAGCAGTCGACCAGGCTAGTATTTATGGGCCTTGTACTCGTACGATTTGTTTGGTTATTCAATTGTGTCGCAGTTTCAGTTTCAATTCCCATTCCCCATGGAAGGAATCTCCGTCCTCCATCCTGCACAGATCTCACTGTTAGATGATGTGGCCAAAAGTGTCCACTGGTCCTGCCCTTCTGGCCGAGGGACCACCATCGGACATGGGAACTCTAAACCTTTTGTTTGCGGTTTTTAGTCAACGAGGGAGAAAAATTCAATTTCAGTTTGGTTTGCTCAACAATGACACTCCACTATATACATATGTATAAATATACATCTGATATATATATATATAAATATATATTTATCTGTGTGGACCACTTCACAGCGCTGGAAGGTCCCTCCTTGTGTGGGCCACATAAGAAATGCTTTGTATGGGCAGCCCAATTGAATTATTTGATAAAAATCATTAGAAAAATTACAAAATGTACACAAGAGCGTGTGGAGCGGGGCTTGGGCTCCAGTGGTTGGCCAAAAACATTTGGCCAGGAACTAAATTACTTTCCGAAGGGCAGCTGTCTCTCTGTTGGGTTCTCTCCAGATATCTTCGACTGGATGTGGTACATATCCCTGGCGTATGGGCAGTAAATGAATAAAGACAATTTATAACAGTAAATCAAATTAAATTTCAATTGAAAAACTTGACAAAACAGACACCCACAGAGAGCGGGGAAAAAACAAAAGAACAACAAAAAAGCGCCCCCCAAATGGCAATCCAACAAAGTTTGGAAATCGTTTGCTAGGGGATGCAGGAGGAGGGAGTCAGCCTATTCACTGGGTTGCCCGCAATCGAATTATTCGTATCAATCGTATCAATAGCCATCAATTGATTGAGAGCCTCCTTCCGAGTGAATTTTCCATTTATGACGGCCAAACGAATGAATGGATGACAAACGGCTGAATCCTAAACGAAGTGAGTCCTTAATTAACTGTCGAAGGACGCCACTGACAGAGATTGCATTACCATTTAAGTCGTATATTCAGAAATCAATAATGGTCAAGGCTGTGCCAATACTCGGACAAACAATCGATGGACAATTCTACACTAAACATTCATTTGTCTTTGGCTCCAGACAGCCACTGGGTGTCAGAGGTCAAACACTAAACTTCAATTTAAAACAAGTTGTGGCCGCACGGCCTCTCTCCTCAGCGCCTCTCAGGGCATCCATCCAACCGTTTGTGTGGCTGGTTGGAGTATTGTGTGTCCAGAAACCATATTGTAACTATTTAAGCGGCAATTTGTATTTTATTGCCAACTTTTGACTCTCCAACTACGACTGCCAGTGTGCTGCTCCTTGCCGCTTTTCACTCCCACATCATTCCGAAAATTCTCGGCTTTCATTTGGCTGGTTTCATCGCTGATAAGTTAAATGCTGCCGCCAGACGTACGCAAGAAGAGTCCCAATGTGGACGTGCACTCACATGTGTAGGAGCTGAAGGACCAGCAGCAGCAGCCAGGATAATGCTGGGCCAGAGGCTGGAGTTTGCATGAGCAGAAGGCAGATCCCTGCAGGGATAGGGGCCCGGGTCCAAGTCCCTGACTTTCACTGGACAACTTAACTACGGTTCACTTTGTTAAGTTGAGTTTTGCACAGTTTTAAATTCAATTAGTTTTTGCGTGCCCCTGCCCCCAGCAGCAACACCAGACGCCACCCATTCATTGTCAGGCATTCTGTGGACAAAGGATACGGAATCTGGGAAATGTCAGCTACAGCTACAGCAGCAGCAGAAGCAGAAGCAGAAGCCGTTCCAACGAACCGTCCGACATTCGTCAGATACTTTACGCATTCGAGATACAAAAGTGTTTTGGTTTTCCTCTTTATTTTGTGTGTCTGTTTTAAAATTCATAGAAGAGCGAATGAGTGGCACAGCTGATGCGACGATTAAATAAATAAGGGGGCTGAAGCTGTATCTGCAGCTGTAGCTGTAGCTGGAGCTGTAAATATTCTTCATAGACTTTGGCGCCGCTCAAGTTTAGTGGCTTAATGCGCAAAGTTTTGTGCGCTCCTTTTATGGGAGAGGAAGGGCGCTCGTGCTCGAGTGTGTCGTGTCGAGTGCCCCCCCCAATGCCAATTGGTTATTCTATTTACACAAAATGAACTTCTCGCCAGAGCCGCACTACACAATACGCGCTTAGCCAACAATAGCAACAGCAAATAATGAGGCACGGACACGGACCCCAGAGCCCCAAAGCCGGGAAGTTACTCCACAAAAAAATAAAAATAAACATGGAGAATTAGCAAACGCGGCATACAAAAGCCTTTAAGTGGCCAAAAAGTTGTTGGTGGGGGAAGGGGGAACCCCTTTACAGCTAGTTGGCCTGTCCCTATCCTATCACTAAACTACCCACAGGACAAGAAAACCAAACCCATCTTCAAGTTTAGCAACGGCTCAAAGTTTTCGTTAAAGACAATTTAACTTTGTAAACTGATACAAAATGTCCGCTGTGGGTCCCTCTGTCCCTGGCCCTGTCCCTGGCCCTGTTAATCAGTGCTGAGTGTGGCGGCTCTAATGTGTTGTTCAGCACCACCGCTGCTGCTCCTTCCCCCAGGATAATGCTGGTACAGGCTTCAGGGGAGGGTTCCTCTTGCCAATTGTAGGTGCCGCACTATGTTCAATTCACTTTGCTCTTCTTAATATTCCAATTAGGTGCACAAGTTGAGAGTTTTGCAACCTGAAACTTCAAAGTTGCTACGTGGTGGAAAACTTCTGTGCCCTCAGCTGCTATTCGGTCAGGGTCCGAGTCTGGCTCGGTGAAGGTGACTGCCAACATGACAAAGTGTCATGTCAATTGAACTAGAAATCCACTTGTAGACAGTTTGTTTCTTCTTGCAGCAACTAAAGCAAAAAAAAAAACAAGCAACAGAAACGAAATACTCTCTTGTAGTCGTAGTTTTTGTTGAAAAAGTTTGCCAGGAAGTTATGTTTTTCACATTTTTGTGTTGGGCTGAAAAGCTGTCATAATTATGGCATCGTTAGAGTCAATCTTTGCCCGAATCCACTGACTTTTGAATCAAACAAAAAACAAGTAGCAGCAGAAACTAGTCAACTATCCATCCTCTAACAATAGGGATTAGATATAAGGATTTTCCACAGTTTTCTTGTCTATTTAAGTTGTGTGAATGAATGGAAATGCATTAAATGTACACAAATATATTGAAGATTTAATAAATAATAGCGAAGCGGTTTCATGGTAAAAAATAACCATTTATAATAATCCATTTCCATGTTCTACATTCGTTTGATTCAACCAGTAACTGACCTGCACAAAAGAGCAGAGTGTAAGAACTGAACGCATCGCCCAACAACCTTCATTCATGGCAAATAATTGCAATAATTATTATTGGGAAATGTCCGAAATAACTGATTTTAATTGATTAATTAATGACAGCATTAGCACAACATTCATAAATATGTAAATATGTTTGCATGTTTTTATGCACGCTAAAACTTTCAACGTGTTTACCGCTGTAGGAAATATTTTTCGTTTTGTTTGTTTTTTGTACATGGCAACCCCCCATAGCCCAATGTATTTGAGATTCTACTTAGTCGAAAAACTCCGCTTGTTGGCGCTTTTCATTGTTTCCACAGCTTCATATCTCGGGCGACAGTTAAATGGGAAAACTTTCGACCTCTGCCTCTTTCTCTCCACTCTGCACGAGAGCCGTTGAGCTAAAGCCTATGGCATCCACAGCCCTTGCCTAATGCTCTGCTCTGTTTTGTTTCTTTTTAGGAATACCCAGCAGCCATGGACTTCAGCGCCGCCCCACCCATGTCCATGGCGCATCTGCAGCCCATAACAGTGACGTCACAGGCGGCGGCGCTGCTGGCCAGCAATGGCGGAGCGACGCTCATGGGTAACGGAACGGCAGGAGGATCGGGCACGCTGAGACGCGGCATATTGCGCGGAATACCACAGCCGGATGTCACCCACCACACGACAGCGGTCAGCGGCAGTCCCATGCAAATGCTGCACGACCTGCATCCCGTCAATCTGAGCGCCACCACCCTCACCACGAGCACCATGCTCAATGGCAGCATGACGACGGCTGCAACCACGAGCACGCTGCCCCGCCAGCCCCACGGCATCCTTAAGGATCCCAACCGTAGCAAGCAGCTCCAACAGCAACACCAAATGCAGCACCAGCATCAGCAGCTTCTGAATGCCAGCCTAGTGGGTGTGGGTGTGCCAGTTTCCGCGCCCATGGGCAGCCTGCAGATACTCAATCTGCCAGCACAGGGCAGCGGCATGGGCAGCAACCTACTGATGACCACCAGCGCCACCTACGACCCCACGGGAGCGGCCATGAGCAGTTTCAACGGGGGCGCCGCAGTCTCCGCTGCCTCCGCTGGTGGCATCCCAGTGGCCTACACAGATGCGGACGGGCATCTCGTATAACTGTAGGCTGAGGCTGGTGTCCCAATTGCCACCAGCGGCGGCGGCGGCGGCGGCAGCAACAGCAGCAACAACAACACTGAATCCCGATACTAGTGCCCCGGATTGGAGGGGCGCGGGGTGCAGCAGGCAGCAGGCAGCTATAAAGTTAACCTATCGTCAACCTACCTAACATATACATAACAAAACATATATATATATATATATATATCTAAGCTATGTAGTCTAGGAGCTTTCTCTTCTGTGGGTTGCATCCAGTATCCCATCCATCTCCATTTCTACGTATAGCCAGGTTGCCGACGGAAGCGGTTGTCCAGCGGACAGGCACTAACGTTCCTCCCATTACCTTATTCAAATCAGCCAACGAATTAGTTTATGTAAATTTTATCCAGCATTTTTGTTGGATCTGTCTGTCTTTTTTCGTTAATGCCCCAACAGAGCCCCCACCCGCCTGCCACCCACACAATGGTTGGGTGTTTATTTAGATAAGAAAAGCGGCAGCAGGCAGAATGGGTGGCATTTGGGGAGTGAGCATAATTTCGCAGAGAGTTTTACTAATTAGCCGGCAGCAGGAATAACAAAAACGTTCAACAGAGGCGCAATGGCAGTGGCAGTGGCAGTGGCAGTGGAAGTGGCACCACCAGTAAGTTTCTGAAGGAGGCAAGTGAAAATAATTTGAAATTTTCTTTAGTGGAACGCGAAACGGTCCAAAGCCGTTTGACAGCTCCCTGGGGCGTGCTAGGGGCTCAAGTCGACTGGGCACGTGATTGCCCTGGACGGCAACCAGCAGCAGCAGCAGCAGCAGCATCGGCACCGGTACCGGTCGTGGCCATGGTCGCCAAAAGTTGAAGGTTGACAGCCGCTGGAAGCTGCCCCTCCCGCTTCTAGAAAATATTGACAGGCCCCCCACTCATTGTAGCGCTGATAAAGCAGGACTCTTGACTAGAAGGACACCCTACAAATAGGATTCACAGACTTACAAAACAGGCAGATGAATTGATTATACATCAGAATGCCAAATTGATAATTCTAACATACATTTTCTCAATTTTGATATTTCTTTATTCCCATTTTATTGTTGAAAGCAAATCCAATTCCTGTTTCTATGCAAGTGCAAAAATTGTAGGAGCGCTGGGGGAGCCTTGAAATTCATTATTCAGACTCTTCTGTAAACACATTCATGGCAAAAGATACTTGTATACCAGATCCCCCATGGACGGAATGTCAGGCACTGCCACGCCCCACAGTCACACAGCAGTTTATCCTTCAGAAGGCATTCATCGAGTACCAGTCGAAGTGGAGTGGAGTGGAGTGGAGCTTTTGCGGCACATAAACAGTTTTCATTTGCCACTCGACGCAGTTCAGCGAGCGTGACATGGGGAAAATCTTTGGATGTGGCAATGGGAATGGGATTGGTAGGGAGGGAAACTAGAATTAGAACTGAGAATCGGTATGGGAATGGGAGGCGCCCATTAGCTGTGGCATTGAAGACAATCTGAGAACTTCTAGAACCCTTGTGGAAGCCTTGTTGAGGCGAAAAGCATAAAACACAGGCGCTCTGCTCTGTTCACTTCTTGAATGCTAGTGGCTTTGGCTTTGACTTTCTAGCTCTCGAGATCTTCAAGCATCGGGTATAATTGCTGCAGCTCCAGCTTCAGCTTCAGCTCCAGTTCCAACTCCTTGAAACAGATAGGAAGTGTGTGTGTGTGTAGATTTTAATATTCATTTAGTTGTAATTGCTGGATATACTCGCAAAGAGGGAGCAGCAGCTACGTCTGTCTGCTGTGGATTATCACAAATGAATAACTGCTCAGCTCTGCTCTGCTCTGCTCTGCTTTGATTTTTTTGGGAATTTCAAGATGATGGTGGCAAGCAATGGAAAAGAAAACCCAAGGAAAACTCGCTTGACTGTGTAATTAAAAGTGAAATTATCTTTGAAATTAACGCATAGACAAAGGCAAAAAGAAAACCACCAGCAAAAGACAAAGACAACGACAAAGGAGGAATCCTCCAAAGAAAACCAGAAAAATGCGCGAAATGCTGAAAATGGAATTAAGAATTAAAATGAAAATGAAAATGAAAATGAAGCCACTATTGTATGCGAGTGTCTGTGGGAATCTGTGTATGCTCAACCACGCCCACACATTGTACGTAGTTACGTATCTGTTCGTTTCGCTGGTTAGGATTTCCGCTATTGAATAATTGTGATTGTACTTGCCACAGATAAAAGTTAAATGAGCAGGAAAATTGTGCGCACTATAATCGAGTGTCTGCGTGTAGGGATGGAAAGGAGGGAGGGTAGGCCCATAACCTGTTGTTCAAGGCATTTATTATGTGGGCCCCCAACATTTGAATTTATTTTGAGTTTTGAGAATAAGAAAAGAGAACTGCTGCCGGCAGCCGCAGACAAACCCAGAGACCCTGATGGCACATGGAATACGTATGTAACCCCACCCCTCTATAACTTATAGATACGTGTATTGTATAGCTTATTACCCATCTCTTAGTGCGGCCAAAATTGCATTAACAATTAGCATTTACTCGTGTGTGAAATGTTTAGGATATAGATAAATACTTGTAAGTAGCTAAGGACCGCAGTCAAACCGAATTCAATGTCAGAACTACTCATCCAATCAGCAAGCAAAAACAAAGCTATAAAAACACTTTTCCAGTTGTATCATACTATTAGCGATAACAAGCGATGAACGATTAACTATATACGACAATTAACTATAAACGATTAACGATAAATACAGGATAAATGCAGGTATATCGACCCACACACACACACACACACATATACAAAACAGAAACACAAAATGCTACAGATTTCATAAATGTAAAACGTAGCATAGAATCTCGACTCACAACTCTTTCTCTTAGAAACCCGACAGAACATACAGTGCTATATATATATATATATGTATGTAGCTATAACTAATACCACTGTTCCATTGGCAGCACATACACACATTCTCGTATCCCCCTTAAAAGTATCCTAAATGTTCGTATGATATCCGTTCTCTTATGCGAAATTTGCACAGCGAATTTGTGTCCGAGGTCTAGTGGAAGTGATTGAATAATGCGCTTGCACTCAATATTCAATTATGAAATGGGATAGTACGAGTATCTTGTAAAATTATCTTTATCTCTTAGAATTCTTAACGCTCCCCGGTGCGCCCCGAATCTTGTATGTCTTCCCCGCACATGCTTCTGAAGGAGAGTGACTCTGACGTTTGTGTTTTGCGTTTTTGTCATTGATTTAGATTTATGGTACACTTAGTTTAGGACTTTACATTTGACGAAATAAGACTTATTGTAGATAATTATTTTGTTGAAAACATTTAACGAAAATCACAAGTGGTTCGATGTGTACGTTTTTGCCAAAGAGATATATTTGTTAAACAAAGAATAATAAAAAAATATAAAAAAACATTGTGCTGCTTCGCTCTTTCTATATGTATTTAAATAGATAAATGTTCAATTGATGTACGACTATGATTACACCTAAGATAACACCCATCCATGTATCATTTGAGAGTAAAATTCGAACAGAAGACACACAAGACTTGAATGCTTACCACAAACTAGATTAAACATGAGAGAGATGACACATTAATGTTGATGTTAATGTTAATTGAAACTTAAACTTAAATGGAATGCGAATGCGAATGCGAATGTTTATTGAATTGTACTTAGTCTGTATGTATGTGTGTATGCATGTCCAATTTCTGAGATTAAATATAGAGAAAGGCTAAAGCATTGTACAGTAGCCAACAAGGGAAAACAATAATTAAATAAAGCATAAGATCTATAAGGATAAATGAAACCAAACACACAAACAAGAATGCATAGTTTATAGACGCAATCGCCATCTCTGATAAATTGTATAAAAAGCGGAAAAACGAAAGAAAAACTCTCGTGAGAGACAAATATACCGACAAATGTGGAATGTAATGCATATGAAACCTATTGCATTTTTAAAACGAGATCTGTTAATAAATGAATAATATAAAATCGAATAATGAATACCAAAACCATTGGAATGCATTTCCTTTTCAGCCTCCAGAAGGAGTTTCCGACTCCTCATTCTGGATGGGACAGAAGGCAGAACCGATTACGTGGGGACAAAGGGCAATTTAATGGCAAAACTTTCCATTGACAGGCAGGACTCCAATAAAGGAAGACCCCACCACTATTCATTCGTCTTGCTATCCGGTTTGGTAGAAATGGCAAGGAGAAAAAACAAAAAATTGAATTCCTTGTAAAACTTACGAGCTGGCATTAATTTTAACAGCATCTCAGGACGGGGCCGGACGACTACTGCCTCCTTCAAATTACGTATACGCCCCATTGAGCGGACATGTGGGTGCGTGAAGCGTGAAGAGTCGCCCCCAGCCGTCGGCCATTATTCTCTCCTGACTGACTTTATGATGCTCATTCGATGGGCTGCACAAATAGCAGCTCGTTTTTCATTTAAATGGAAGTTAATTAGTTCCGCCAAACAATGGGAAAATGTATAAAAAAAAGCAGCAAAAACAATAGAATGAAGCCCGGCCCGAATAAAGGGAAGAATAAAATGAACACCCGTAAAACAGGGCGTGGCCAAAAGTATTCTTTGGCTGCAATTGATTGATTTATTCCCTTTCGACATCCACTTGCCTGGCTTCCTTCCTGCTCTGGCTGCGACTTTCAGGCAAACTTTTGCCTGCCATTGCCACCTCCACTTCACTTGTGGCACTTCCACTGCTGCTGCTTCATCAGTTGTTGCCTCAAATTGATTCAACAAACGGGCAAACAAGGGAAGCCTGGCTGTGATGGGCCTTCAATTAATATATGGGTTGCACGGCGGACCGGGCAAGTAAGTACACGCATACAACCTACAGGACACGAAAGTTTCTGGCAGCTCGAAAAATGATTTGCCGTGTCACATGCACAGATACTCTTCCAATAAGATGGAAGAGAATAAATTATTTATATGAAAATCCGCAAGCATGGCGCTGAAAAACTATTAAGACTGCCTGCTATGACACTTTGAAAGCTGTTTGCTATGAAACCCCTAAAGCAGTCTTCTTTAAAATACCTTAAGGTGTCTGCTATGGAACCCCTGTAGCTTTCTGTTCTGAAGCTAGGAAAGCTCTCTGCTGTGCACAAAAATAATGTATATAAATTGTCAATCTTTTAGACATACCCATCGATCGACCCATTTGAAGGGTATTCAAGCTTCTTCAAATGCAACTATCATTCAATTTGTTCTGTTTTCTTTTAGTTTTCTTTGCAAGTGCAGGTGACAAAAGTTCTTTCCTCTCTTTTTTTACCTTCCAGACTGTTCTTTCCAGATGGCAGCGATGGCCGTCAAAAGGAACAAACCTCAATGGCGACAGCGTGGAAATGCACGTCACAAGTACTCGAACAGTTCATCTGGCCGAGTAAATGGAAAAGTTTTGTTTGCTAAACTTTTGGGCAGCAGAAAAAGAGAGAGAGAGAGGGCGTCAGAGCAAGAGTGAGAGTGTGCGAGGAAGGTGCGAGTCTGGAAGGTTAGTCCGCAGAGTCACTAAGGAAACAATGACGACCGAAAAGTTTTTTTTGTCGGTGGCATAATCATTGTCATGGTCATTGACGCAAGGATTTGCAAATTATCAGGGAAACAACTTGGACCCGGTTGGACCCATGTGCGACGACATGGCAACCATGTGGGGCAGCAGCGCGAAAAACCACTGTAAAATTCCATCATTAAATTTAATATTCCGCTGGGTCGGGAGGGCAGGGAAACCGGAGAGACGGTAACCAAGCTCCTGTGTCTGAACCGCAGCAGTGGGCCTTTGGCCCAGAGCCTGACGTAGACAACAATTATGCCTTTGGGGAAATAGCCAGCTGACAATCAAAGAAGCCGCACCCATAAACAAGCCAGAGAGCTGAGGTCGAAGCCGCAGCCATTACGGCTATCGCTCCATAGGAACCGCAAATGGCAGCTGGGGGAGTGCCCGTGCCCCATCGTAATGAATTGTGGCGAACCCGAAACCCAAAATGCCAAACACACACTTAGAGGGATACACAGCGCTACAGAGATACAGAGACGGGAATGATGGAAGGCAGTTTGCATACGAGACAGAGTATATCTTGCCTGTTCCGGTTGCCTGCACAATTCTTTGGATCTTCCCAGCCAAGGATCACGCACACAGTTGCATCCACATCCTTTTTGTTACGGCTTCAATGCACTAGAAAGCTCAGAGTTGTGCTCATCCGTATTGTTTTTCATAAAACCCATTTCGGGGCGGTGCAAGCTTATCAACGCACTGCAGAAACAGCAACAGCAGCAGCAGCGGCACCAGGAAGCAGCCTCAAACTTGGCTAATTTGAGACCTAGCCTGAACACCATCTACGTCAAGTGCATGCCCTGGAAGCAATTGCAATGAAATGGGCAATAATTCAAATTATGCATCCGCCACATGGTACGAATAGCAAGAGCCCTAATCCCAAGCCTTTTTTCAGACCCCAACTAAATAGAAACAAGCAAGAATGTTGGCAAGTTTATAGTCGGTAGTTTATAAATTAGGGTTCTGTCTGCCTAGACTACGAATATTTAGTAGCAGTGCCCCTTTGTATGAATCGCATCCCAAGTTATTCCGTCGGATCGCGACGCTGTCAAGAAAAGCGTACGAAAAACGAATGAATTTGGCCACAAAAATATGATTTCATTCATTAAAAGCTGACAAGTTCAAGTTGAATGAAAATGCATGGGATATACATAGTCCACATATGATTTATTTTTAACACGTCTATTACAGCATCATCATCAGAGACTCGACAGGTCTTGGCAGGCTTTCAGCGAAACAGCCGGGTAGGGGGTCCGAGACAGAGGAGATGAAAAAGACAACGATGCGCGCTGACAATAATACACACGAGAAACAAGAAAAAACTGAGAAACCTTTTAAAAATTTGTTTTTATTTTGTTTTCTTGGTGCACGGCGGGAGGTGACTCGTGTTTGGTATTTCCTCGAACCGCCAACAGCTGATTCCTGGCCCCAAAGCACCAAAAAGACCGGGGCGCAATTGGAGCGAAATAAAGAGTGTACGTGCGAGTGTCTGCATGTGTGTGTGTGTGCAGCAAACAAGCAACAAGCGATGAGGCGAACAAAAATCACGGCCAAAACGGCAAAGCCGGCGAGAAATTTCTTCGGGGTAAAAATCGCCGCACAGTGGGGCAAACATGAAATGACATAGTACAAAACAGTACATGTGTGTATATGTGTGCATAATCTAACTTTTGTTTACAAACATATACAACAACATATAATTCATTCCTTAATAAGATGCTTCCCTAGATGCTCACAATTCCTAAATACATTCCCGTATTTTTGCATAAAATCTTCTCCAGCATCCTATTTATAATTAATTTGAATTCACGTGCCACTCGACCCACTGTTTCGCTTTGCCTCCCGACTGCGGAGGCTGCTGCGTGTTGCGTGCCGCTCGTTCGGTCGTTCGTCTTCAACATTCTGCACTCGTAGTCGCCGTCGTTTGGGGCTCGTCGTCAGTCTAGAGAGTAATATCGACACGAAAAGTAAGTTCGCCGTGGTTCTGCTGTCCCCATACTGGGCCCCCAGCATCGAGTATAGAATCTATATGTGCGTTTTGTGTGGTGCTGTGAAACTGGGGGAAAACGTGGAAAATCCATGCTTTTCTTTTGCCTGGCCCCCTGCGCAACCGTTTGCCTCATGCCAGAGCCGGGCTCCAGTGCTGCTGTTCGATTGATTCCAATTGCATAAGATGTGCAATTATCATTGTGCCGTATCAAATAAGTAAAAATATGAAAATTTGAGAAAATTTCTGAAAATTGTTCTAGTTTTGTGCGCTGCCCAGGCCATTTCGTGTGATATTTTTGGACATGTGTGCGCTCCTCGTCGGCTTTGTGCGCCTTCGGGCGATGCTCGGGCGGTGTTCGTGCGGCGGTGAAACCAAAAATAAACATACGACACCGCTGAACGCCAACAATTTGTTGGGAAAACTCAAATTCTACAAGAAAACTAAAGTATCTTTTCTGAAAAATCAAAAAAAAAAACGAAAACCCAAGTGACGCGCCGGATTGAGACGTGGGTGTGGGAGCCACTGGTTTGGCAAAATGGCGGCAGCTGTTTTTGGGCGCTGCGTTCACTGCGTTGTCATCCGGACCCTTGGATTATTACCAATGGCCACGCAGTGGGGGCGTCCCGTCGCGTATCTCGTATCGTCGCGTTCCGTCTAGCAGACATTATGCCGCCAGCAAAACGAGTGAAACAAAGTCCTTGGCTCAAGGATACAACGAAAGCGAATCACGCGAACCCCACGCACAACGAAGCAATTAATTATGATATCCCAATACCCCAAACATTATTGTCATGCCAGTCAAGTGATTCTATGTATGGATGGTTGTCAAACAGCAACTGTTGCATGGCACACATCCTGACAAGCACCTGAACAATAACACACATTCATACATACGTACATATACTAAATATAGAGATTAGCCATGTCGAGCACGCCTTTCCCCCAAAGTAACTTTGGCACTTACCCAAAACAAAACAAAAACACTAGATTTCGACTAGCCGCAGATAATTTACTCTTCACTTGTTTTCCGAACACTCTTTCATATTTTTAAAGCCGGCAAATTGTTCATTTTGCTGTACTTTTGGAAATTTCGCGCACTTTTTGTCTTTCTTCTATTTTCTTTTAAACCAGTGATCAGATTATGTACACTACACTTGTTTTACGAACACTCTTTTATATGTTTAAAGCCGAAAAATTGTTCATGATATACACTACAATTGTTTTCCGAGCGCGCTTTTATATGTTTAAAGCCGACAACTTTTTCACTTTGCTTTACTATTGGCAATTTCGCGCACTTTTTGTCTTGCTTTTTTTTTCTTTTTAACCAGTGATCGCACTATAGGCTTGTGAGGGCACTATCGTGTCGAGTTTAGATATCGATGAGAATGTATCTTCTGATTATTGTAGGATTATTGTAGTATTAAGAACTTAACAATCAAGTAAATAGGCAATTATCCAGGAATTCTACTTATTGCGCATATTTATCAGCTCATTGTTTTTACAAAAACACTATTTAGCCAGTCGATCCCTATCGATTTCTCATTCGATTCATATATCGATACAGTGAGCCTAGAATATCGGTCTGTCGAAGAACGAAGAAAGAAATCGAACGATCAGCAGTAAGTGTAATAGATTTTGTGAATTTAGCTATTAAGTGAAGAAACAGCAGAGGTTCCTCTATCATTTATGTCAAGTGCTGGTGCCATTGCATGTCTTCACCCACATTTTGTTTCAAACATATTTGCATATGTCTTTGCAAAATCCCACACAAGTGGCGTGACACACATATAACGGTAAAAGTGAGACACAAGGAAAAAAATGCGGCGAAAAAATCAAAAGAGCAGAGCGGACACACAGCTGTTCGTACAGCGAAACCAAAACAAAATGTCGAAGAGCCGACTAGTTGTTATGTGAGCGAGCGAGAAAGAATGAAAGAGAGAGCTCTCTGTAGTTAACCATGCATATGTGTGTTGTGTGTGTGAGTGCAAAAACGAAGCGGTAGAAATTCGCAAACTATAAAAAAACAGAAAAATGTGCGCGCACGTTTCACTCAAATTCTGACATCCCATGCAAAAATCCACACAGCGAATTCTTTGGCATCATGACGAGAGTGCTTAAATAATGAAACGAGAGAGTAACTAAAATCTTACAAATTAAAAACACATCAATTAAATTCTCTTCAAGGAAAAGAATACGATTCGAGTGGCTGAAAAGGGAAATTCCCAACAAAATAAAATACACAACGCTGCTGGGTTGAACTTGTTTGCCTGGAGGCGCTGCAGTCGTTGGCGTTAACCAAACGAAATGGCTGAAGCGGAAGGTGGCTCCGAGCAGGATGATGTCTCATTCCTGAGAACGGTGAGTAACGGGGGTTATGCGGACAATGCTACTGACTGACAATCTGGCCTTAAGGGAGATCATCTAAAATCAATTACGTCCACTCAATAAAATCCATGGGGGATTTTTCACAATTGGTATCATAAAATATGCGACAAAGCGGCGAAGTTGCCGGAAGGGGTGGCAGAGGAACAGGACGAGGAGTGCCCACCGATGGGCCAATCCATAAAAGATGTTGCGTCCCTCGGTGTATCTGTAATGCATATTTATGGGCGACCCTAACTTTTGTTTATGGCACGCAATAAATACAAAACTCGAGTCGCAAATTCAATCACAGTCACCAAAAGGGGGCCTCCTTTTTCGTTGGGATTCATTTTCCACTTTACATAGATTTCTCCCAAGATGGTGGCGGGGCCTGGCGATGAACACATCGTCAGCTGACAAATGCTTCCATATATCAATGCCCACATCTGGTGCTCCAAATGACAGTCATTATTGGGAGTATAAGTAAATAGTGATACTTCCTGTTCCTCCTGCCCTTTTCGTAGTAGTTCCTCCCCAGCTTGAAGGGTCAGCAGAAACGACGACACCTTGCCGCAATAAATAAATATGTTTGAGGGCAAAAGTTATTTGCCGGTAGGAAAGTAACCGTAAACCTGTCTGTATATCAGTCCCTAAATCCCAGCCTCCCACAGCAGTAATTCAATAAATATGGGAGCCAGGGGAATTGCGTCCTTTAGATGTCCGCCTCCTTGTTGTTGGAGACAATTTGCGGTTCCACAAATCCATTGACCGGAAAAGTGCAAGGTTGCAAAAACATTTTCTCGGTATCGGAATGGAAGTCAAATGCAAATTTTCGTCAATGAGCTGCAGTTTTTGGGGCCAAGTCTTTTTCCATGGGCGTATGAGGGTGTGGGCGTGTGTGAATGTGGTCAGGCTTAAATTTTAAACAGTTTTGCCATGCCGATCGGGGAAGGACACAGACAGTAGTGAAGCTGCTGTGTCAGGCTATCGCTCGGCAAGCACTTCATTCGTATTTAAATTATGCAAATTGCTCGATTCGAAATCCATTACCGTTCATTTAACTTCGACTACTACACACAACATCACATCCCATCCCATCACATCACATAACCCAAACGCAAATCACATCCAAGTGGAGGCCCGTGGTTAGGGCGGTGGCATCCGTGTCCATGTCCGGAGTCTGGGAGTCCCTGGCCTGCCGGCTTGCCTGCCCGCCTGCCCATTCATTTGCACATTTGCTGTGCCTTGTAACAATTCCCTCAATTTGCGTGTGCATTGCCACTGCTTGATGCGGCATTGGACCTGCCCCCAAAGGGCACACGTGTATGCATGCATGCATGTATGTATGTACGTGTGTGTGGGCAAATGCCAATTGGTATTGTGGTAGCTTGCCGGTTGTAATTGTTGCCAAAGTCTCATTAAAATTGCAGCCGAACTTTAGGCCTCTTAACGACTTAATTGTTACCTAGCAGCAGCCACCATTCTCCACTTTCCCTTCCCCTTGCCCAAATTGCATGAAATCCTCCACTCAACATTTAAATACAATTACAGGAGGACATGGTCACACTCTCGTGCACAGCGACGGGTGAACGTGTCTGCTTGGCCGCCGAGGGATTTGGTAATCGGCATTGTTTCCTCGAGAACATTGCCGACAAGAATGTGCCGCCGGATCTATCGCAGTGTGTCTTCGTAATCGAGCAGGCACTGTCGGTGCGCGCCCTGCAGGAGCTGGTGACGGCGGCGGGATCCGAGACTGTAAGTAAAACACCACTTGGGGGGTATGAATATCCATCCTTCTGTATGAGATCTTTCATTAGGGATTCTCCAACATTAAACATCAAAATTTTTACTTTATCCAAACTTATTTTATGTTGTGCTCAGAGATCCATGTCGCTTGTTCTCCTACCTACCTCAAACCCCCCCAACACACACACATAATATGCAAACTTTGATGTATTACGGAAATATTCTATTGCATGTCATCTCTCTCCTTCTCTCTTCTCTCTTCTCCCTACCCACCTATTCTTCTACACATTTGTAACCTATCAATTTTTTCGTTGTTTTTTCAAAATTTGTTCTATAAAAAACCCCACAAAAACAGGATAGTCAAGTTGTAAGTATTACCGTTCAATCTTCTTCTTTACTCGTACTCGCGCTTCTATCTCTCTTCTGTCTCTCTCTCTCTATCTGTTTCAATTTGATCCGTGTAATGTCTGTAGTGCTATTACTTTCTCGCTCGCTATTGTTGTTCGCTCCGTTGCTGCTTCTCTTTACGAGAATAATCTTTAAGCGCTCGCTCAGTCTGTGTATCTCTTTCTCTCAATATAAGAAACAAGAATACGTGCAAAATGATATACCACATTTCCATTAGCATTCCATGCAAAATAGCTGTACAATCCCGAAACGGAAATTTGTACAGCCAATGAACTAGTGCTGATCGAACTGTGGTGTAAGGATACAAGTATAAAAGGGTTATGTTGATTGAATATCTATACCCGAGAAAGAACACATAATTTGTCTAGTTGTACTGACACACGTTTAGCTAATTCCGTAACCCCCACAAACGCAAACACATCCTAACATATGTAAAATCGAATCTAATAGTTTAACTCTTTTTGAATTTGAATACCCTTACCCTTTGCTCACTGTTATTATGCTGTAGAAAATGAAAAGTAGTTTGTATTTTCGGCCTCTCAATCCTTAAGATGTTCCAAACCTTAGATATAAGATCTACAAACTCATTAATCAATCGTTTCCGATAGGGCAAAGGCACCGGATCGGGACATAGGACATTGCTCTACGGCAATGCCATTTTGCTTCGACATCACAATAGCGATATGGTAAGTGCCGTTCCTGTATTAAAGCTGAAGGAATCATACCCATATTAATCTTTAAAAACTTTCAGTACTTGGCGTGTCTGTCAACTTCGTCGTCCAACGATAAGTTATCGTTCGATGTGGGTCTGCAGGAGCATAGCCAAGGCGAGGCCTGCTGGTGGACAGTGCATCCGGCGAGCAAACAGCGCTCTGAGGGTGAGAAGGTGCGCGTCGGTGATGATCTGATTCTGGTGTCCGTGGCCACAGAGCGTTACCTGCATACGACCAAGGAGAACGAGCAGTCGATTGTGAATGCCAGCTTCCATGTCACCCACTGGTCCGTTCAGCCATACGGCACGGGTATCTCCCGCATGAAGTACGTCGGCTATGTCTTTGGCGGCGACGTTCTACGCTTCTTTCACGGCGGCGACGAGTGCCTTACCATACCGAGCACCTGGGGTCGTGAGGCGGGTCAAAAGTAAGCATCTAATCACGATCGATAGACATTAATTAAACCCTCCATGCCCTTGCAGCATTGTCGTTTACGAGGGCGGCGTGGTCATGGCTCAGGCTCGTTCCCTGTGGCGCCTGGAATTGGCGCGTACCAAGTGGACGGGCGGTTTCATCAACTGGTACCATCCGATGCGCATTCGTCACATAACCACGGGACGCTATCTGGGTGTCAACGATAGCAACGAGCTGATTCTGGTGAAGAAGGAAGAGGCTTCGATTGCCACGACGACTTTCTGCCTCAGGCAGGAAAAGGACGACGAGAAGAAGGTGCTCGAGGACAAGGATCTGGAAGTGATCGGATCGCCGATCATCAAATACGGTGACACCACCGTCATTGTCCAGCACTGCGAGACGAGCCTGTGGCTTAGTTACAAGAGCTACGAGACAAAGAAGAAGGGCGTGGGCAAGGTCGAGGAGAAGCAGGCCATTCTCCATGAGGAGGGAAAAATGGACGATTGCCTTGACTTCTCACGCTCCCAAGAGGAGGAATCGAAAACGGCGCGTGTCATCCGCAAGTGCAGCAGCCTTTTCACTCAGTTTATCACGTAATTATCACAAGAACTCCCATAAAACTCTTGAAACTAATATACAATTCTGTTTAGGGCATTGGAGACCCTGCAATCGAATCGCCGACACTCGGTGTTCTTCCAGAAGGTGAACCTCAATGAGATGGTCATGTGTCTGGAGGATTTAATCAATTATTTCTCTCAACCAGAGGACGATATGGGTATGTAACGTGTAGAAGTAGTAGCATTCCTTAGCTGATGGAAATCTCTTGATTATTATAAGAACACGAGGAGAAACAGAATCGTTTCCGTGCGCTACGCAATCGTCAGGATCTGTTCCAGGAGGAGGGCGTTCTCAATCTGATACTGGAGGCCATTGACAAGATCAATATCATCACGTCCCAGGGCTTCCTGGCCAGCTTTCTCGCTGGCGATGAGACCGGTCAAAGCTGGGACCTCATCTCCACGTATCTCTATCAACTGCTGGCCGCCATCATCAAGGGAAATCACACGAATTGCGCTCAGTTTGCGAACAGTAATCGCCTCAACTGGCTGTTCTCGCGTCTGGGCTCCCAGGCCTCCAGCGAGGGCTCTGGAATGCTGGATGTGCTGCACTGTGTGCTCATCGATTCGCCCGAGGCGTTGAATATGATGCGGGATGAGCATATCAAGGTAATTATCTCACTGCTGGAGAAGCACGGACGTGACCCCAAGGTTCTCGATGTACTGTGCTCCCTGTGCGTCGGTAACGGCGTGGCCGTGCGCTCCTCCCAGAACAACATCTGTGACTTCCTGCTGCCGGGCAAGAACCTGCTGCTGCAGACCCTGCTGGTGGACCACGTGGCCAGCATTCGGCCGAACATTTTTGTGGGACGTGTGGACGGGTCGTCCATGTACCAGAAATGGTACTTTGAGATCACCATGGATCACATTGAGCAGACGACCCACATGATGCCCCATCTGCGCATTGGCTGGGCCAACACCTCCGGCTATGTGCCATATCCGGGCGGTGGCAAGAAGTGGGGCGGCAACGGCGTGGGCGATGATCTGTACTCATTTGGCTTCGATGGCGCCTATCTGTGGACAGGCGGACGCAAATCCCTGGTGGTGGATGCGATAACCGAGGAACCCTACATCCGAAAGGGCGATGTCATTGGCGTGGCCATAGATCTGTCGGTGCCCGTCATCACGTTCACTTTCAATGGCGTCAAAGTGCGCGGCTGCTTCCGGGACTTTAATCTGGACGGCATGTTCTTTCCGGTGATGAGCTGCTCCTCGAAGCTGAGCTGTCGCTTCCTCTTTGGCGGCGATCATGGGCGCCTCAAGTATACCCCACCCATGGGCTTCTCGGCACTGGTGCAGTGCCTGATGCCGCACCAGATTCTCAGCCTGGATCCCTGCTTCTACTTTGGCAATCTCACCAAAAACGTTCTAGCAGGTCCCTGGCTCATCGAGGACGACACGGCCTTTGTGCCGAAGCCCGTGGACACCACGGGCGTAACCCTGCCCAGCTCCGTGGACCAAATCAAGGAGAAGCTGGCGGAGAACATTCACGAAATGTGGGCCCTTAACAAGATCGAGGCGGGCTGGTCGTGGGGCGAACATCGTGACGACTATCATCGCATTCATCCGTGCCTAACGCAGTTCGAGAAGCTGCCGGCAGCCGAGAAGCGTTACGACAATCAATTGGCTGTACAAACACTCAAGTAAGACAGAAACTTTTCCAGTGATGGGTTGCCTTTACTAACAGTCTCCTCTCTTTGCTCTCCCCACCCCTCAGGACAATAATTTCGTTGGGCTACTACATAACCATGGACAAGCCGCCCGCCCGCATTCGTCCGGTGCGTCTGCCCAACGAGATCTTCATGCAGGGCAATGGCTACAAGCCAGCACCGCTGGACCTCAGTGCCGTCACCCTCACACCCAAGCTCGAGGAGCTTGTCGATCAGCTGGCCGAGAATACGCATAACCTGTGGGCCAGGGAGCGCATCCAGCAGGGCTGGACATATGGCCTCAACGAGGACTCGGACAACCATCGCAGTCCCCACTTGGTGCCATACGGGAAGGTGGACGAGGCCATCAAGAAGGCCAATCGGGACACCGCCTCGGAGACGGTGCGAACGCTGCTGGTCTATGGCTATGTGCTGGATCCGCCCACAGGCGAGGGAACCGAAGCGCTGCTGGCCGAAGCTCAGCGCCTGAAGTTCGCCGGCTTCCGGACGTACCGCGTGGAGCGCAACTATGCCGTAACCTCCGGCAAATGGTATTTCGAATTTGAGGTCCTCACCGCGGGACCAATGCGCGTAGGATGGGCGCGAGCCGACTGCTATCCGGGTGCCATGCTCGGCAGCGAGGACACCAGCTGGGCCTTCGATGGACACAATGTGAGTATGCCCAACACACCCCCGTCACCCCAGTGGGGGAGGATCGTGATTGGCAATCGATGCGAGCTTAGGGCAGGATGCAGGGATATCTCCTGCCTTAACACTAAAACGGGTTTATGCGGGAAGTGGGATGCGGGCGTTAATGCAAAGATCAATTGAAAAACCCCCCTCTGAACCCCCAAATGATTATAGGTGACCAAAATGCATGCCGGATCCATTGAGCACTTTGGTGTGCGGTATGAGGCTGGCGATGTCATTGGTTGTTTCATCGATGTCAAGGAGCAAACCATCAGTAAGGACCCATAGAGGCACTGCCATCGCGGCACTATCAACGTTAATTTATTCTTTACGCATTTTGTTTAACTCTTTTTTCTTACCTAATCGAAGAGTCTTGAGTTCTCTCTTCTTAATTTGTTCATTTAGCGACACATTTGATCATTAACCAACATTCAAATAGGGACATCCACCTACATATCTATATCACCTATGAATATTATTCAATTCTCAAATTCAATTTAGGAAGAGAAAGTCTATGGTGGCAACAGTGAATCGTTTGGTAAACAGTGCGGACCCGGTGACATAGTCGGTGTCTTTCTAGACCTAGCCGATCACACAATTAGTAAGAACCACCAATAAGCCTGTCTCTCTGTATCTATCTTTGTAATGTGAAAACCAAAAATCCAACCCCCCGTGCCCCTTAGCATTCTAAAGAATGTATTTTGTTCTATTCCGTGCTTTTGATATCTACTAAACGTGAAACAGAAAGTGCAACCAGAACGAGAACCATAACCAGTCGCAGGCTGATGGCCCCAGCAATGTGGAAGGACAATCAGTAGCCCAAGTCCCACCCTACCCTCTGCCCCCAAGCAAAACCCCTGGCAAGCAGCTTCATTAGATCTACATTTATATCATTAAAGAACAGGACCCCTCCCACCCAAAGCAGAGCTCGCAAGTAACCTTCAAAAGTTTCTTCCAAACAATCCAAAATAATACAAAATCTAATGATTTTGCCCATAAAACAATTGATAATGTCGAGGGTCATTTGCAAGAGCTCTGACAACAATGCATTAGTTCCATCAGCTTTTATAGTCCGCGCTTCTTTATAGTACACATTTTGGATCGAACAAAACCAAGCCAATCCTTAGCTCTAACGTCCAGTACATATCATATGAATAAAGCTTGAGAGGATAGTGCCTGAGTGGCTGAATGCCTGAGGAGAAGGTGACGACACATCAGACCCATCAAAAGCTTTTTACTCACTCGTCTCTCTGTCTCTGTTAATTAAACTGCCTGTAATTAGTCATCAAACTAATCAAATATCAATCAAAAATCAATGTACAATATTTAGCATGAGAGCTAACACCGTATAACACCACTCGTACAATTATTATAGTCTGCTTGCGATTTTATAAATCTACTACTAACTAGCTTTAATCCGAAATAGAGTTTACATTTGAATAAGGATTTTGCAAGTCTCTAAATCAAAATCCAAAATGCAAATTAATCAGCACGAATAGGCTAGAGGAATTTTAATTGCTTGTTGGATTCCCTCACATTGGGAATTCAATAGAAATAGGCTGCTTGGTTCTTGGCTTTGATACGTTTAGATATGTATATGCGCCTGTCTATCGGCTGTAACTCTATCCATTAACTCTAATCAATTAATGTGCTGTGCAGGCTTCTCACTGAACGGAGAACTCCTCATGGATGCCCTGGGTGGAGAGACGACCTTTGCCGAGGTCACCGCCGAGGGAGTGGGCTTTGTGCCCGCCTGCACACTGGGCGTCGGCCAGAAGGCACGACTCATCTATGGCCAGGACGTGGACTCACTGAAGTTCTTCACCACATGCGGCCTTCAAGAGGGCTATGAGCCATTCTGTGTGTGAGTGTAATCGAAACTTGCAGCCCGAATATCTACCTCAAACCATTCCATTCATTACATACAGTAACATGCGTCGGCCCGTGACCCATTGGTATACGAAGGACCAGCCCATTTTCGAGAACACTGAGGAGATGCCCGACTGCCGCATCGATGTGACGCGTATTCCTGGGGGAGCAGACACCCCGCCGCATTTGAAGATATCCCATAATACGTTCGAGACCATGGAGAAGGCCAACTGGGAGTTCCTGCGCCTCTCCCTGCCCGTCACCTGCATGGGTGAGTTCATCAGCGAGCAGGAGAAGTCGCGCCGCTGGGAGGAGATCAAGATACGTCAGTATCGCCTGATGCGCGAAGCCCAGGAGGCGGCAGCTCAGATGCAAACAGCCCAAACGGCCGCCCACATGGACCACATGCTCAAGGGCGGCTTCAACATGAACGACATCAAGGGTCTGACGCGCAACTTTGACGATCACACGGAGGCCGAGGCCGAACACATGATGCGTCCACCGCGGACGCCGCGCAAGGGCAGCCTCACGCGCAACATCACCTTCGAGAGCGACATGTCCGCCGCTCTGGATGAAATGCAGCGATCGACATCGGTGCTGGATATGAACGGTTTGGGGGAGGAGATCGACGACAAGAAAAAGCGCGGCCGCAGTCCATTCAAGTTCTTCTCGAAGAAGTCGCGCGATCAGAGCCGCGAGAAAATGGGCTCCAGAACGTTGGACACATCGCTGGAGCGCCGCAACACGGTGGCCCATGGCCGCAATGTGGTCAACCAGCAAATGACAACCCGTGCCCCAACACTGCGTCTAAATAATGTGAGTATACGGGAATGCAAGGATTAAACTAATTCAAAATTATTTCCCTTTTAGGCGGAGATTCCATCCAGTCCGGTGCAACAGGCCCAACAGGGACCCAAGCAGCTGAGCTCCTCGAATCTGGGGCAACCGCCGGTGGAGTCGTCGGGCAACGAGATGTTCGACGCCGATTGCCTCAAGCTGATCAACGAATACTTTTACGGCGTGCGCATATTCCCCGGCCAGGATCCCACGCACGTGTACGTGGGCTGGGTGACAACCCAGTATCATCTGCACAGCAAGGAGTTCAACAAGAACAAGGTGCGCCGTGGATCCGTGTACATTGAGGATGACTATGAGGTGCCCATCGAGCGGATCGATCGCCAGAGCTGCTACGTGGTGCGAGCCGATGAACTGTTCAACGAGGTGACCCAGGATGCCTCCGGTAAAGGTGCCTCGCAGGGCATGTTCGTGGGTTGCTTCGTGGACACGGCCACGGGAATCATTCGGTTTACGTGCGAGGGCAAGGAAACCTCTCACCGCTGGATGATGGAGCCGGACACCAAACTGTTTCCGGCCATTTTCGTGGAGGCCACCAGCAAGGAGATTCTCCAGATTGAGCTTGGTCGCACACCCACCACACTGCCCCTGTCGGCGGCCGTACTGCCGACCAGCGACAAGCACATCAATCCCCAGTCCCCGCCGCGTCTGAAGGTGCAGTGCCTGCGGCCGCATCAGTGGGCCCGTGTGCCCAACACATCGCTGCAAGTGCACGCCCTGAAGCTGTCGGACATACGCGGCTGGTCGATGCTGTGCGAGGATCCCGTCTCCATGCTGGCACTGCACATACCCGAGGAGGATCGCTGCATCGACATACTGGAGCTGATCGAGATGGACAAACTGCTCTCCTTCCATGCTCACAGCCTCACCCTCTATGCGGCACTGTGCTATCAGTCCAACTACCGGGCAGCGCACGCCCTGTGTCAGCACGTGGACCAGAAGCAGCTGCTCTATGCCATCCGGTCGGAGTACATGAGCGGTCCGCTGCGGCAGGGCTTCTACGATTTGCTGATAGCCCTGCATCTCGAGTCGCATGCCACCACGATGGAGGTGTGCAAGAATGAGTATATCACGCCTCTGGGTGCCGAACTGAAGGAGCTCTATGCCGACGAGGAGATGCAGCATTCGCTGCGCTCCCTCGTCACTGAGTCGGTGCGTCCCCAGTTGCGTATGACGGAAATCACGTGAGTAGATAACCCGTAGATGCTCTCTTCCCCGATCACCACCGTAGAGATCTAGCATTGTTCATGCCTCATTCTACTTTCATCCTGCTCCTGCTCCTGCATCCAACACACTCTGCACCAACAATCACTACAACAACAACAACAACAACAAAATATCCGTGCATCCGATCCGATCCGTCCAGACCCCCTGTGATTGCAACATCTAGTATGCCAAGTGTTTCCAGCGAACCGATACCCAACATCGACCAATTGTACTCCCCGAAGTTCCCCCTAGAAGTAGTCAGGCAGTTTGTGATGGAGGCCCTCAAGGAAGCCGTTGAAATCAATCAGGTGCACAATCGTGATCCGATCGGTTGGACCAACGAGAACCTATTCCTGTAAGTAAACACATGCTAGACACAAAACCGATACGAACTAATGCAAACTGCCTTGCTGAATGATTTGTAGACCCCTCATTAAGCTCACAGATCGCTTGCTCTTGGTCGGTGTCCTCACCGACGAAGATGTACAAAAGCTTTTGGTAATGGTTGATCCCGAGACATGGGATGCCAAATTTGAGAAAGGTAAGGGAACATCCAGAATTCCTCCAGCTTTTGTTCTCCATTTATGAGCTTCCTTTTCAGAGGGCAAAGATGAACACCGCAAGGGCCTGCTGACCATGAAAATGGCCGAGGGTGCCAAGCTGCAGATGTGCTATCTGCTGCACCATTTGTATGACACACAGCTGCGGCATCGGGTGGAAAGCATCATTGCGTTCTCGCATGACTTTGTGGGCGACCTGCAAACCGATCAGTTGCGTCGTTATATCGAGATCAAACAATCGGATCTGCCCAGTGCTGTGGCGGCCAAAAAGACCAAGGAGTTCCGGTGTCCGCCGCGCGAGCAAATGAACCAGATATTGTGCTTCAAGAATCTCGAGTCCGATGACCAGGACAACTGCACCTGTGGCCTTGAGTTGCGCGGCCGACTGGGCGACTTTCACGACAGCCTCATGCAGAAGGTGTCGCTCAATGCGCTGCAGGAGCCCGACGGTACGGAGAGCGGTACAGCGATCGAGGAGATCAAAACGGGGCCCATCACGAAGATCTATAACTTCATCAATACAGTCAAGGAGCTGGAGGAGGGGCCCAAGGAGGTGGAGGAGCCGGAAAAGAAGACACCCGAGGAGGTATTCCGCAAGGTTCTAATCAAGCAAATCGTCAGCTGGGCAGAGGAGTCACAAATCGAGAACCCCAAGCTGGTGCGCGAAATGTTCAGCCTCCTGCTGCGCCAATACGACACCGTTGGTGAGTTGGTGCGTGCTCTGGAGAAGACCTATGTGATCAATAATCGTGCGCGCGAGGATGTGGCCGAAATGTGGGTGGGCCTCAGCCAAATTCGCGCCCTGCTGCCCGTCCAAATGAGCCAGGAGGAGGAGGAACTGATGCGCAAGCGACTATGGAAGCTGGTGAACAACGCCACATTCTTCCAGCACCCCGATCTGATACGCATTCTGCGCGTGCACGAGAACGTCATGGCCGTGATGATGAACACGCTGGGGCGGCGGGCCCAGGCACAGAGCGATGCACCCGCCCAGCCCGAGGGCGGCGAGGGTGTGCCCTCGAAGGAGAAGGACACGTCCCACGAGATGGTCGTGGCCTGCTGTCGCTTTCTGTGCTACTTCTGCCGCACCGGCCGCCAGAACCAGAAGGCCATGTTCGATCATTTTGACTTCCTGCTGGACAACGCCAACATCCTGCTGGCACGGCCGAGCCTGCGAGGCTCCACACCCCTGGATGTGGCATATTCGAGTCTGATGGAGAACACAGAATTAGCTCTGGCGCTTAGGGAACACTACCTGGAGAAGATCGCCGTGTATCTGTCCAGGTGCGGACTGCAGAGCAATTCGGAGCTTGTTGAGAAGGGTTATCCCGATCTCGGCTGGGATCCCGTCGAGGGCGAGCGCTACCTGGACTTTCTGCGCTATTGCGTGTGGGTCAATGGCGAGAGTGTCGAGGAGAATGCGAACCTTGTCATTCGTCTTCTTATCCGTCGTCCAGAGTGCTTGGGACCGGCTCTAAGAGGAGAAGGGGAAGGTCTGTTCCGGGCCATCGTCGAGGCCAATCGCATGTCGGAGCGCATCTCGGATCGCTGTAAAATGCAGGACGAGGCCGAGGGCACCACCATAGCCGGTCTGAATTTTACACATCCGCTGCCCGAGAGCGACGAGGACGAGGACTACATTGACACGGGTGCCGCCATACTCAATTTCTATTGTACGCTCGTCGACCTGCTGGGCCGCTGTGCCCCCGATGCGTCTGTCATCGAGCAGGGCAAGAACGAGTCGCTGAGAGCTAGAGCTATTTTGAGATCTCTGGTGCCGCTGGAGGACCTGCAGGGTGTGCTCAGCCTCAAGTTCACTCTCTCCCAGACGGGGCCCGGCGAGGAGAAGCCCAAGTCGGACATGCCCTCGGGCCTACTGCCCAACAACAAGCAGAGCATTGTGCTCTTCCTGGAGCGTGTCTACGGGATCGAGACGCAGGATCTCTTCTATCGCCTGCTGGAGGACGCCTTCCTGCCCGATCTGCGCACCGCGACCATTCTCGATAAGAGCGATGGGTCCGAGAGCGACATGGCTTTGGCCATGAATCGCTACATTGGCAACTCCATCCTACCCCTCCTCATCAAGCACTCCAAGTTCTACAACGAGGCGGAGAACTACGCCAGCCTCTTGGATGCCACTCTGCACACGGTCTATCGGCTATCCAAGAATCGTATGCTAACCAAGGGGCAGCGGGAGGCCGTCTCCGACTTCCTGGTGGCCCTCACATCCCAAATGCAACCTGCCATGCTGCTCAAGCTGCTGCGCAAGTTGACTGTGGATGTGTCTAAGCTGTCCGAGTATACCACGGTGGCATTAAGGGTAAGCTAATGAATAAAATATAAATATCAACCTTCAAGAGAATTAATGTCTTCCTTTTAATAGCTGCTGACACTTCACTTCGATCGCTGCGCCAAGTACTATGGGTCGACTCAAGGCCAGGGTTCGTACGGGGCGTCGTCGGACGAGGAGAAGCGCCTGACCATGCTCCTGTTCTCCAACATTTTTGACTCGCTCAGCAACATGGACTATGACCCGGAACTGTTCGGTAAAGCACTGCCCTGCCTCATTGCCATCGGATGCGCCCTGCCGCCCGACTACAGTCTGTCGAAGAACACCGACGAGGACTACTATGGCCGCCAGATGGGTGCCCCAGATCAGCCGCAATATGTGCCCCATCCCATCGACACGAACAGCGTCCATTTGGACAACGATCTGAACTCGCTGGTGCAAAAGTTCAGCGAACATTATCACGACGCCTGGGCCAGTCGACGCCTGGAGGGTAGTTGGACCTATGGCGACATACGATCCGAGAGCGAACGCAAGCATCCCCGCCTCAAGCCCTACAACATGCTCACTGAATATGTACGTGTGCTGGGGGATTGATTCTACATCATCATTTGATCACTAAACCATCGATTGCATCTTAAAATCTATTGATACTTTCACAGAATTAATCGAAAATCGTTTTGTTAGTGTGTAGAAATGTGAAATAATTGAAATGTTGTCCATTCGCAGGAACGGGAGCGTTACCGCGATCCAGTGCGTGAGTGCCTGAAGGGTCTGTTGGCCATTGGCTGGACCGTGGAGCACTCGGAGGTGGATGTGCCGCTGAATCATCGTGGATCGACGCGTCGCCAATCTAAGCCACAAATTGTATGTAGCCGTGTGCTCCGACGTTGCCCATCTAATCCCATCTGGCTGCAATCTCTGCGCTTCCTTCTAATTCATTTTTTCCAACATTTCATAATCTGTTTCCCCCGCCCGACCCTCTCCTGCAATCCGTACGCTAACTCCGATAGCACGATTTTCAGAACGAGGGCAGTCCCTTCAACTACAATCCCCATCCGGTGGACATGAGCAACCTAACACTCAGCAGGGAGATGCAGAACATGGCCGAACGGCTGGCAGAAAACTCCCATGACATTTGGGCCAAGAAGAAGAACGAGGAGCTGAATGGCTGCGGCGGTGTAATACACCCACAGCTGGTGCCGTACGATCTGCTCACGGACAAGGAGAAAAAGAAGGATCGTGAACGATCGCAGGAGTTCCTCAAGTACATGCAGTACCAGGGATACAAGCTGCACAAGTAAGTACCAGATCACATAACCATAAATCCAGAAACACATAAAAACTCCCCACTCTTTGTAGACCATCCAAGGGCGGCGCTGTGGAGGAGGGTGGAGCCACCCAGGCGGCCGTTGAGCTGAGGTTCTCGTACTCGCTGCTGGAGAAGCTAATCGCGTATCTGGATAGGGCCACCATCAACATGAAACTGCTGAAACCATCGACCACGTTCAGTCGTCGCACCTCCTTCAAGACGGCCACGCGCGACATCAAGTTCTTCTCGAAGGTGGTGCTTCCCCTGATGGAGAAGTATTTCTCCACGCACCGCAACTACTTTATTGCTATTGCCACGGCCACCAATAACATCGGCGCAGCCTCGCTCAAGGAGAAGGAAATGGTTGCCTCCATATTCTGCAAGCTGGCGGCATTGCTGCGCAACCGCCTGAGCGCCTTCGGGCCGGATGTGCGCATCACTGTGCGCTGCCTGCAGGTGCTGGTGAAGGGCATCGATGCGCGAACGCTGACCAAGAACTGCCCCGAGTTCATACGCACCTCCATGCTGACGTTCTTCAATCAAACGTCCGACGATCTGGGCAACACCATTCTCAATCTGCAGGACGGCAAGTACAGCCACCTGAGGGGCACACACCTGAAGACCTCCACCTCGCTGGGCTATGTAAATCAGGTGGTGCTGCCCGTGCTGACGGCGATGTTTGATCATCTGGCGGCCTGCGATTACGGCAGCGATCTGCTGCTCGACGAGATCCAGGTGGCCTCATACAAGATACTGGCAGCACTCTACCACCTGGGCACAGACGGGACACTCACGCACGACCGAAAGTATCTGAAGACGGAGATCGAGCGACATCGTCCGGCGCTGGGCTCATGCCTGGGCGCGTACAGCTCCTGCTTCCCGGTGGCCTACCTGGAGCCGCATCTGAACAAGCACAACCAGTACTCGCTGCTGAACCGCATTGCGGACCACTCGCTGGAGGCTCAGGACATCATGGTGAAGATGGAGCAGTGCATGCCCAATCTGGAGACCATTCTCAGCGAGGTGGACCAGTTCGTGGAGTCGGACAAGACGTACAACGATGCACCGCACATTATCGACGTCATACTGCCGCTGCTGTGCGCCTATCTGCCCTTCTGGTGGTCCCAGGGACCGGACAATGTGAGTCCCACCAGTGGAAATCATGTGACCATGGTCACAGCGGATCACATGAACCCCTTGCTGCGGAACGTGCTCAAGATGATCAAGAAGAACATTGGCAACGACAATGCCCCCTGGATGACCCGCATTGCGGCTTACACCCAGCAGATCATCATCAATACGTCGGAGGAGCTGCTCAAGGATCCATTCCTGCCGCTGGCGGAGCGCGTGAAGAAGCGCACAGAGAACATGCTCCACAAGGAAGACAGCATGCGGGGCTTCATCAAGTCGGCCACCGACGACACGTCCCAGGTGGAGACGCAGCTGCAGGAGGACTGGAATCTGCTCGTGCGCGACATTTACTCATTCTATCCGCTGCTGATCAAGTATGTCGATCTGCAGCGCAACCACTGGCTGAAGGACAACATACCCGAGGCCGAGGAGCTCTACAATCATGTGGCCGAGATCTTCAACATCTGGTCGAAGAGCCAGTACTTCCTCAAGGAGGAGCAGAACTTTATATCTGCCAACGAGATTGATAACATGGCACTGATCATGCCCACGGCCACTCGGCGTTCTGCCATATCGGAGGGCGCCCCCGCCGTGGGGGGAAAGGTGAAGAAGAAGAAGAAGAACAGGGACAAGAAACGGGACAAGGACAAGGAGGTGCAGGCGAGTCTGATGGTTGCCTGCCTGAAGCGTCTGCTGCCCGTCGGCCTCAATCTGTTCGCTGGGCGGGAGCAGGAGCTGGTGCAGCACTGCAAGGATCGCTACCTGAAGAAGATGACCGAATACGATGTGATCGAGTTTGCGCGCATGCAACTGACGCTGCCAGACAAGCTGGATCCTTCGGACGAGATGTCCTGGCAGCACTATCTCTACTCGAAGCTGGGCAAGAGCGAGGAGCCCTTGGATGAGCAGGCCCTGGAGAAAGCGAATTCCAATTCGAACGAAAAGGGCAAGGACAAGACGCAAGAGACAGTGGATCGCATTGTGGCCATGGCCAAGGTGCTGTTTGGCCTTCATATGGTAAGTGCAAAAATGGAACCCTCTCTAGTAACGCTCACTCTCTATCTCTCTTACTGATAAATCTTTTAATCATACGATTTTTATTTTCCTTTCACAACATCAAACAACAAATCAATCAAATCTCTCTCTCATTTAATCCGTAACCGTATCCGTGTACGAATCGACATTTACAGATCGACCATCCGCAACAGCAGAGCAAGAATGTGTACAGGAGCGTTGTGTCGATCCAAAGGAAGCGTGCCGTAATCGCATGTTTCCGTCAGACATCGCTACACTCTCTACCCAGGTTAATGGCGATTGCTGACTTTAAATGCTCGTCTCGCGAGGCGAGACAGTTTGCTAACCAGTACTAACCAGAGCCTTGTGTTGGAGCCTGTCCTAATCGAAAAGTCTACTCTCTACCCCAGCATCAATCCTCCTTCCATCATCATTCTACTTATTTCCTACTGGTTTTTATCTCTACTAATTACTAATCTGCGGTATGCGCGCTCTACTCTAAAATCCATTTGTGTATTTATTGTATATTTTTATGAAAAATGCTTCATTGACCAAAATGCTTGCCACAAAACAAAACCAAACAAAACAAAAAACAATCGCTCGAACCACTCCTCCGACTGCTTCACTGTGCACGTTTAGGCGGCCGGCTCCAAGAATCGAACCAAACGCTGGAGTTCAAAGATTTCGGTGGCACGTCGCCAGGCAGTTATTTCAAGCTTACGCGCCAAGCATCTATATCGCATGAGCAGGTGGTAGTCTAGTCGCACATCCAATAAGAGTTTTTCATTTGATTTCGGCCTCTCTTCTGTTTGAATCTCTATCTCTCACAACATTCTTTGCAAAAACTGCCGAAAGCAGAGACGATCACTTCTTACGTTCTTCGGTTTTTGTTTGACTTTTCGTTTACTAATTTAATTTCATTAAAAGCATGTCTGTTTGTTCCATCTAAGTTTGAGATTTATCCACCCAACTAATAATCTTTGTGTACTTCGACAGACATCGCGCCTGCAACATCTTTGCACGCACATATCACGAGCAATGGCTGAACGAGGAGAATGTCGGCCAGGAGGTGATGGTGGAGGATCTGACACAGACATTCGAGGATTCGGAGAAGTCCAAAAAGGACGAGGAGGAGACAGACAGCAAGCCCGATCCGCTTACCCAATTGGTGACCACATTCTGTCGCGGTGCCATGACCGAACGCAGTGGTGCCCTGCAGGAGGATTTGCTCTACATGTCGTATGCCCAAATCACGGCCAAGTCCTGTGGCGAGGAGGAGGAGGAGGGCGGCGAAGATGGCGAGGGCGGTGAGGGTGCCGAAGAGGGTGAAGGCACCAGCATCCATGTAAGTTTTTCTTACATCCAAACTTACACTAACCGATCCTCATCCACACACTAACAATACCCCTTTCGGGACATGTCTAACCCAAGTGGCGAATGAGGGAACTAATGGTAAGGAGGGGGATGATACTTACTAACATTTGTATTGTTTGTGTAATCTCTGGGACTAATCTGTCTGCTACCCACTCGATAGGAACAAGAGATGGAGAAGCAGAAGCTGCTCTTCCATCAGGCCCGTCTGTCGAATCGTGGCGTTGCCGAAATGGTGCTGTTGCACATTTCCGCCTCCAAAGGTATACCTTCGGAGATGGTAATGACGACACTCAATCTCGGCATCGCTATATTGCGCGGCGGCAACATCGACATCCAAATGGGCATGCTCAACCATCTCAAGGAGAAGAAGGATGTGGGATTTTTCACATCGATTGCGGGCCTCATGAACTCCTGTAGTGTCCTCGATCTGGACGCCTTTGAGCGTAACACCAAAGCAGAGGGTAAGTTCCAGGCATCTGGCATCTGGCCTTCGCCTCCCTTCGCTCTTTCGCTCCTCTGTTCTTTTGGCTTTTCTGTGACTGTTTTGGTTTGGTCTACTCGCTGGTGCCACCAAATATTCTTCTTAATTTTCGAATATTGATTTGTGTCTACTTCCTTCGTTCCTTTCAACCAACCAACCAACTGATCCTACCCCACCAACCACCAAAATGTCTCGCATGCCAACCAAAACCATCCCGATATATCCCCGAATCGTTTGTATCGTTGTATAAAAACCCAAAACCAAAAAAACAAACAACAAAGAGTATATTCCGAGTGCGGGTGCAGGTCTTGGTGTAGGTTCCGAGGGGGCGGCAGGCGAGAAGAACATGCACGATGCGGAGTTCACATGCGCACTCTTCCGGTTCATCCAGCTGACCTGCGAGGGCCACAACTTGGGTGAGTCCACAAGCATTTACCTTCCGAATGCTCCCATCTAATGAACTGCCTTACAGAGTGGCAGAACTATCTGAGGACACAGGCTGGCAACACGACAACGGTCAATGTGGTCATCTGCACTGTGGATTATTTGCTGCGGCTGCAGGAGTCCATCATGGACTTCTACTGGCACTACTCCAGCAAGGAGATCATCGATCCGGCCGGCAAGGCAAACTTCTTCAAGGCCATCGGTGTGGCCAGCCAGGTGTTTAACACCCTCACCGAGGTCATCCAGGGTCCCTGCACCCTCAATCAGCAGGCTTTGGCCCACTCTCGTCTGTGGGATGCTGTCGGTGGCTTCCTGTTTCTGTTTTCGCACATGCAGGACAAGCTATCGAAGCACTCCAGCCAGGTGGATCTGCTGAAGGAGCTGCTCAATCTGCAAAAGGATATGATCACCATGATGCTCTCTATGCTGGAAGGAAATGTCGTCAATGGTACGACAATAAAAGTCTATCTATCGATTCCATTACCATATATTCCGTTCCTTATCAGGTACCATTGGCAAACAGATGGTGGACACTCTGGTGGAGTCTGCGTCGAATGTGGAGCTGATCCTCAAGTACTTTGATATGTTCCTCAAGCTGGCCGACCTCATCGAGTCACCCAGCTTCCACGAGATTGACATGAAGAACGAGGGCTGGGTCACACCCAAGGACTTTAGGGAGAAAATGGAGCAATCGAAGAACTACTCACTGTAAGGCGGGAAATCCCATTAATTTGATTTTGATTTAATTTAAGTCTCTTTCGCCTTGAAAATGCAGGGAAGAAATGGATTTCCTTTTGGCTTGTTGCGAACGCAATCACGAGGGAAAGATTGACTACAGAGCCTTCGTGGAACGCTTCCATGAACCATCAAAGGAGATCGGTTTCAACCTGGCCGTTCTGCTGACCAACCTGAGCGAGCATATGCCGAATGAGCCGCGTCTGGCGCGCTTCCTGGAGACGGCCGGCTCGGTGCTGAACTACTTCGAGCCGTTCCTGGGTCGCATTGAGATCTTGGGCAGCTCGAAGCGCATCGAGCGGGTCTACTTCGAGATCAAGGACTCGAACATCGAGCAGTGGGAGAAGCCGCAGATCCGCGAATCGAAGCGTGCCTTCTTCTACTCCATCGTCACCGAGGGCGGTGACAAGGAGAAGCTCGAGGCCTTTGTTAACTTCTGTGAGGATGCCATCTTTGAGATGACCCATGCCTCTGGCCTGATGGCCACCGATGATGGCGGCGGCAACGTGAAGCGCGACACCGCCTACAGTTCGTACATGAGCGAGGAGGAGGAGGAGCGCGCCGCTCGGGATCCCATCAGACGCACCATCACTGCCGTCAAGGAAGGCCTCAAGTTCGGTGTCCACATGCTGAGTCCGGCGAACATCAAGCACCAAATTGGCGTCATGCAGACCAAGTCCATCCCCGAGCTGATTGTCGGCTTCTTCAAGATCATCTTCTACATGTTCTACTACACGGGTTACGCGCACTTCTGTGTGGTGCGCTACATCTTTGGCATACTGCTGAACCTGATGCGCGGCCCCGCGCCCGAGCAGGAGGACCAGCTGCCGGTGGTCGAGGAGGAGACGTTTGGCCGAGCACTGCCGCCGCTGCCGTTGGAAGAGCCACCCGGAACTGTTCAGGCTTTTGGCTTGGACATAAACAAGGCGGATAACGGCGAGTACAAGGTTGTGGTTCATGAATCTCCTGCCAACTCCTCGATGGAGGAAGGTGGCGAATCCAGTCCCGAGGATGGCGCAGCTGTGGCCGGGGAACTGGCCGAGGGCGAGCCCCACCAGGAGCCCATCTCCATTGTTGATCTGCTGGGCGGAGATGCCGCCAAGAAGGCCGCTCAGGAGCGACAGGAGGCGCAAAAGGCCCAAGAGGCGGCCATGGCCTCCATCGAAGCCGAGGCAAAGAAGTCGTCGGCAGCCCCACAGGAAACGCCCGCAGTTCATCAGATCGACTTCTCGCAGTACACGCACAGGGCAGTCAGCTTCCTGGCGAGGAACTTCTACAACCTGAAATACGTCGCCTTGGTGCTGGCCTTCAGCATCAACTTCATGCTGCTCTTCTACAAGGTCACCTCATTCGAGAGCGAGTCCGAGGGCTCTGCCGAGGAGGAACTCATTCTGGGCTCCGGCTCGGGGGCAGGTGTGGACATGAATGGATCTGGTTTTGGTGGCTCTGGTGACGGCGGGTCCGGGGATGGGGAAATGGAGGATGAAATACCGGAGCTTGTGCACGTCGACGAGGATTTCTTCTATATGGCGCACGTGCTGCGTATTGCAGCCTGTCTACACTCGCTTGTGTCCCTGGCCATGCTGATCGCCTACTACCACCTGAAGGTGCCGCTGGCTATATTCAAGCGCGAGAAGGAGATTGCCCGACGTCTGGAGTTCGATGGCCTCTTCATTGCCGAGCAGCCGGAGGACGATGATTTCAAGTCGCACTGGGACAAGCTGGTCATATCGGCCAAGAGTTTCCCGGTCAACTACTGGGACAAGTTCGTCAAGAAGAAGGTGCGACAAAAGTACAGCGAGACATACGAATTCGATTCCATCTCGAATCTGCTGGGCATGGAGAAGAGCGCCTTCACAGCGCAGGAGAGCGAGGAGACGGGCATCTTCAAGTACATCATGAACATTGACTGGCGCTATCAGGTATGGAAGGCGGGCGTCACCTTCACGGACAACGCCTTCCTCTACTCGCTGTGGTACTTCAGTTTCTCGGTGATGGGAAACTTCAACAACTTCTTTTTCGCTGCCCATCTGCTGGATGTGGCCGTTGGCTTCAAGACACTGCGCACCATCCTCCAGTCGGTTACGCACAACGGCAAGCAACTGGTCCTGACCGTCATGCTGCTCACCATCATTGTTTACATCTACACGGTGATAGCATTCAATTTCTTCCGCAAGTTCTACATACAGGAGGAGGATGAGGAGGTGGACAAGAAGTGCCATGACATGCTGACGTGCTTCGTCTTTCATTTGTACAAGGGCGTTAGAGCGGGCGGAGGCATTGGTGACGAGATTGGCGATCCTGATGGGGATGACTATGAGGTGTATCGCATCATCTTTGACATTACCTTTTTCTTCTTCGTCATCATTATCCTGCTGGCCATCATCCAGGGTCTGATCATTGACGCCTTCGGTGAGCTCCGTGACCAGCTGGAGTCGGTCAAGGATAACATGGAATCGAACTGCTTCATATGCGGCATGGGGAAGGACTTCTTCGACATAGTGCCGCATGGCTTCGATACCCACGTCCAGAAGGAGCATAATCTGGCCAACTACATGTTCTTCCTGATGCATTTGATCAACAAACCGGACACCGAGTACACCGGCCAGGAGACGTACGTGTGGAATATGTACCAGCAGCGCAGCTGGGACTTCTTTCCGGTGGGTGACTGTTTCCGCAAGCAATACGAGGATGAATTGTCTGGCGGCGGCGGTGGCGGTTAGCCGCTGTCGCCAGCATTCCTACCTACCATCTGATCGCTATCTGGGCACAACTCGGTCCAAGGACTTGGCACCTAATTTGTATCTACTACTACTGATTCATCTGGAATTTGTTACCTAGTCAACTTTATAGATGTAATTTAAGACGTACACAAAAATGTACCCAAATAATCGTTTAAACTTTAATGTATCTATTTATACATATGTACATATTAATGTATGTATGTACATGTGGGAGACGACCTTTTTTCCAAGAGATAATGATGATGACGATTCTAGCACGTATAACACAAAATGTTCTTAACTCATTTTAAAATAAATCTTCATTTTTAACGAATCACCTTTGTGTTTTTTTTATTATAACCCAGTAATTGGCACTCTGAGAAAATTGCACACAACGCCAACACCTACAGCGAGATAAATATAGAGTCTCCCGCTCATTCGAAAGTGTATATTGGTGTTATGGACAAGACTTGCATCATACATATATGCTGCAAATAATTGATTAAAGTAATTTATTTATTTTAGCTTCCATAACTTTCCGTAGTAACAAAATAACTCATTTTCAACACTTAAAAATAACAAAAACAAAAATTGAATTTAAATAGCTTTTCACATAATAATGGACTGGCATACAAAGTGTAAATATGTATAAATCACTTGAAAAATCACAGCTACATAAACATGTACACACAAATGTACACATGCACAGATGTTTCCTTAGAAAAATTAGCCGATTCACAGTTGAAATTAATTCATCATTTTCCTATTGTGTGTTGTACACATATTTTAGCATAGCTACTTAAATATTATATTTAAATTTTATATGTGTATGCATACATATATATATTTTGCTAAATATTTTATGTATGAGAGGTCTTTCTCCACAAAAGACGTGTGTTATGTGACGGGACATGTGACTAGCGAAAGTTGTACAACTGAAAATAATACAATACCAAAACAATTAAAACAGCGGCAAAATATCAGTAATCGAGACGCTTCTTTAAGCGAAAGAACTCGGCATTGTCGATGCTCGTCATATTGTCCATATTGAGGTTACGCAGCGTGCGTATGCCGGACAAGCGCTCCTCGATGTCCGCGTACATGCTGCGACATCGGTAGACGGACAGCGTCTGCAGACCAGTGCAGTTCACGATGATCGCGTCGAGAGTGTGCTTCGTCAGCTGGCTGCAGCCACTGATGTGCAGGGCTCGCAGGCGGGGCAGGTTGGCTGTGACCACCTGCATGGTCTTGTCTGTGATGTTGTAGCAATCGGACAGATCCAGCTCCTCAATGGAGGGGCAGCTATTGACTAGAGCCTCCATGCCCAGCAAGGAGATTTGCTGACAATTCGAGAGCATTAATCGCCGTAGCTCGATGTGCTTCAGTCCGTACTTTAGGGAGACATCGCTGATCTTGTTGCATCCACGCAAGTTGAGGGTGCGTAGACCACGCAGCTGCTGAATGTTGTGCCCCTGGAAGTCCTCCTTGTGTATCAGTTTCATTTCGTAGGCGGCCAGCATGACCTGCTTGCGCCTAGCGTCACGCACAATCTCGTCCTCTGCTTTGCTCCTCAGCGATATTTTGACAGACTGCAGCGAGCCGTCCCGCTCCCCCAAGCTGTGGCTATACGGCGGGTAGAAGTTCTCCATCGTAGACGCCTGAGGGCCCAGTTGCTTGCGACTCTGCTCCAGCTTCGATATGTTCAAGCCAGTGAGGCCAGCATCTGTCAACTACATTAAACAGATTCAGATTGGCAATATTGGGAATATATTTTGATTGGACTTACGCCGGAGCAGTGTTCCAGGGACAGGTCGCGCAGCCAACGCAGCTGACCAATTACGAACTGTATGGCCTCATCCGTGACTCCATTGACACAGTTGTTCAGATGGAGCGAGCGCAGGGAGCGCAAATTGCTTGCAATGGACTTGACGCACTCTTCGCAGATTTGCAAGTGGGACACATTTAGCTCCAGCATTATACTGTTTTCCTCGGCTGCCACGCCCGCGGTGATGCCATCGCTGGTTATGCCATCACAGTTGGAGATGTCGAGGCTTTTCAGGCGACGCAGCTTGTGCAGATGGATCGCTCCAACGTTGGTGACTCTCGTGCAGCAGTTAATCTTCAAATTCTCTAGCTGCGAGTTGGTCTCGGCAATGCAGGCCAAGTTTTCATCGGTCACGCACGTGGTCCCTGACAAGTCCAAAGCAGTCAAAAGCGGCTGAGTGGCGAGGAAGGTTCTTATCGTCGTGGCATTTAGCTGCCTGCAACCGGCCAAATAGAGGCGTTGCAACTTTAGATTCAGTTGGCCCAGCGGCAACAGAGATTGCCCGATAAGGGTATGGCTGAAGTTTAACTCTCGTAGAGTTCTTTGCTTCAGGCTCAGCATGGTCAGAATAAAGGTGAATGTAAGCAATAATTCGCTGAGCATCACACTGTCGGACTGGCTTGCGTTGGGGTAGAAGCGAAGTTGCAGCGCGTTATGGAAGGCGATTTGACAGCCAGCCATATTGATCACCTCGAGGCGAGGCATGAACGACGTCAGTCTCATTAGGATGGCGTCGGTGAGATATTGGTTATCACATAGCGACAGCTCTCTCATGCCCGACAAGTTAGTTGCCAATTCGTTGAGAATTGAGCTGGAATTGGTGCCGTTTTCGAGGAAGGAGCCAGACATGAACAACGGCAGGCAGCGCTTAAGGGAAAGGGAATGGAGATGCGGCAGCACACCCAACATGCCATAGAACTGCTTGTCGTTCAAATCAACATTATCCAGGGCCAGCGACTGGGCCGTTTGACCTAGGAACCTGAGCAGCTCAGGTGCCTGGCCAAGGGTCACATCTTCGAGCATAAAGTGGTTGAAACGTCTGTCGCATCGCATCAAATCAACTGCTGGACTCTGCTGATCCGAGAGCACTACTTTTGAGAAACAGACACGGGTGCGCGCTTTAAACTCGGTCTGATCCAACGCCGAGTGCCACAGATGGCACGTCGATCCAGCCGCCAGAAGGTCTGAGTAGTCCAGGTAGCCAAATATTTTCAAAACAATCTGCGATCATAAAAGCGAAATGTAATCAGGTGACTGTTTTGTTGCCCATAACAGGCAGATATTCGAATCTACATGGAACGGCAGTCACGGGACTGCCAGTTTCGGTTGACTTGCCTCTAACGGTAGCTCGTCATATCTGGCGGAAGAATATTCCAAAGACGACATTATATTTATGCAGATGCTAGCAAGAATCTATGAATTAGATTTAAACAGCACTGCTTAACTTTAGCGTTTGTAACTAGCCAATCAGTTTGACCGCGGATATTACTTTCTGACCCTCAAAAATATACCGAAATATACCATAGACCTCGAAAAGTATAAAATATAAAATTAACTGGTTCACCCTTCTGTATAATAACGGCGTTCCACTTAATCTTTAGTGCTGATTAATTTTAGTTTAAGCGGATTTAATGGAGCTACTATCTACGAATGTTATTTTGTTCCCTATATAGGTCCCGCACCTGGTAAGATACTTATTTAGTAGTATTTTGTGGTACGACACGATAGTTTTATTGTTTCTTAGCTACTATTGATTGCACTTTTGCTAAAATTGGGTCACACTGTTTATGACATCAGATTTCTGTTTGCAAAAACTTATTTTTCTTTGAAAAACATTGCATATCCTTGCGACCAGGACCTCCGGACTAGTCACCGTGCCCACAGCTATGGCCGATCCAAAGTTTCAAAACCTTCCGGGAATCGTGAGTTGAGCAATGAGGTGGCGTCCAAATCGTAATTTTCATTCCCTTTTTTGCAGGCCTATGACCAACCTGATGTCTACGAAACGCCCGACGATCCCGAGACGGACACCTCTGATTACTACGAGGAAGAGCCCGAGAATGAGGCTATAGAGCGAATGCACATCTCCGCTAGCGCGGCCCACAAACGCTTTAGCGGAGCAACGCTCGAGGGAAGCGTCGACTTTACGGACCGAATCGGTCGCCGCTCTGGCCGTGGCTACGATATGCGAGGCGCTGGCGAATATGAGCTTGTGGGGCAGGGTGAAAAGGAGACTCCCGTGCAAAAGTGCCAGCGGCTGCAGATCGAAATGAACGAACTCTTGAATGAGGTGGCCGCTCTGCAAGTGGATCGCAAGATTGCTGACGAGGAGAAGCAATCTTACGACGCTGTTGCCACTGTCATAAGCACAGCAAAGAAGGTACTGGACACTTTGAAGCTGGAACAGGTGCTTGGCAAGGAGCAGGTGCCCAATAGCAAGCAAGTGAAAGCGCTCATTAGCCAAGTGGAGGAATTCAAGCAGTCCGGCGTACTGACGGCCATACCAACGCCAGGCACTGATTTGGCATCCACAGCTCGAGTGGCTAGTCTCGAGCAACGGCTATACCAACTGGAGAAGGCCGTGGGAGCACAGCCGGAAAAGCTAAGCCGTCTGACCGCTGCCACCAACACGACCAATGTGCTGGAAGCTGTTCGCCAACTCAGCACCAAGGCTGCCCTGCTGCAGCCCGACAAGCTGGACACCATTGAGCAGCGCCTAACGACTCTGGCCGGGAAAATGGACTCCATTGCCGAGAAGTCCAGCGGCAGCTCCCAGGACGCCAAAAGGGACCAGAAAATTTCGGAACTCTATGATATTGCCAAGCGTACGGAGCCTGTTGTCGAAATATTGCCGCATGTCATTGAGCGTATGCAAGCTCTGGAATCCCTACACAAATATGGTAAAGTAGAACTTCACAGAATCATTAACGTTTATTTAATTGCCTCGAGTGCATTTCAGCAAACAACTTTGCTAAGATTATAGCCGAAATTGAGCAGAAGCAGGGTACCATAACAACCAGTCTGGTCAATAACAAGGAACTTCTGCATTCCGTACAGGAGACCTTCGCTCAAAATCTGGAGACCATCACCAGCAAAGTGACTAAAGTGGAGCAGCGCGTTACAGCAATATCGACAGCTAAATAAGTGAAAGCACAGCCCATGAAATATGTATTTCCATTATATTAACCCTTATATTTATTAAATAACAATAAACATTCGATTATTTTCTTTAATAAGTGTTATAAATGCTTGAAGAGAGTTTTCGGTATATAATGGTATTCGAATCAGTTTTTTAGCATATTACGGTATGTTCCTGGTGTATGTAAAGCCCATCTCTAGAGTAACGGTGCTATTTATTCCTATATGTGTTTTGTGTTCAGGAAGATAAAAGATAAATCTATGTAATATGTCTATAATGGATGAATCGTTTCCAGCCGATCTGTTCGACCAGCTTAACAGCGACGGCGCCAGCACCCCACGCCAGATGCAGGACATCAAGAGGCCAAAGATCTTTGGGAATAAAGGTAAGCGACCACGTGCGGTAGTCATTCAGCATTCCAAGTAATCCTTTTGGTGAATCTAGAGTTTGTGGAATCCAACCAGAAGCAGCAGGGCCACAACACCCTCCCGGAGTGCGTACCGCCCAGCGACGCCACGCAGTCGAAAGCTGAGGATCGAAGGAAGCGCTTCTCTCACTCGGCATACACCAAGCGGCGCTACAAACATGTGACTAGCAAGGTGGCAAAGTACATTACGGACATAGAAGCCCAGGACGAGAAGAGTCGCAGGGCAAAGGAAAACCTGCTGCGCAATAATTCTATGCCGGAGTACCAAGCAGAGCCGAGTGACGCCAAGGAGCGCGGGCACTTCAGCGTGGACGAGCTCTTTGCCGTGGACCTGTCAGTGGCTAACGACAGCGCGAACATCTGCGAGCGCCTTATTAGCGAGATTGAGCGCCATCGTAAAGAGATTGTCCGCCTTCAGGAAGAGAACTTGCGAGTGCAGTCCTACAGCGACTATCTGCAAACCAAGCTGGACGAGAAGGCAATGCAGACACTTATAATGAAGCGAAATTTGGAGACCATTCGGATCGAAATGGAATGCTACAGGCATAAGCTAAGGAAGTATGAGAGCGCCTAGCTGCGCTCCATTAATATCATATTTTTAATTGTCTTATATTGTTTAATTATGTTTTATGTACTTTATTTATTTTGTCTTGAGAGTAAGTGTGTACCGTGATTTAGGGCAATGTTTTAAATAAATTATAATCAACGCGGTTGGGCTGGGTTCAAAATGTATTTGCGCTTTTGAGCACTGAATGGAACAGCTGACGCACAAATACCGTTCCTAGTTTTCTTCAGCCCTGGCAGCAACAGTTCTTAAACTAGACAAATAGGGTGGGGTTAAGTGGGTTAATTTCTATTTTCCTCGGTTTTAATGTTTGAGAGCAGCCTTGAAAATTATTCATTAATATTAATTTATGGAAATAGGGATAAAAATGCCCGTACAAGACTAAGCCACCGGTTGACAATCAACAAATTGTCAAATACGTTGTTTTATGCTATTTTTGATGGTTGACCTTTTTAGTTTTAAGCTTTTTTTGTAAACATATCTACAAAAGGATGTCGTGAAAACTTGGCACTCTTGTGGAGAATTCATTGATAAATCGGATACAGTTTTAGTTTTAGCGCGGAAACTCCTAAATAGCTAGTAATATGAAGTAGAACATTAAAATCGAGGAAAATGATTTAAGATTTACTGTATATTTACAGTATATTTTGAAAATTCCCGGGTATCTTTCGGTATATTTCCGAGGCCCCGTGGGTACATTTTATCGATAACTCCGCGGTGTCCACATATTCCAATTAAAAGAATAATAACAATTTTTAAACAGGGCTAAAAGTGTTAGCGAATGTTAATTGTAATTACAATTCTAAGTGAGTTTAACCATATGCAACATTTGATGCTGGTAGAGTCCAGAGTTGAGGCCACATAGGCAGAGTAGATGCCCCATGAAAAAGTGATGACGGGGCGCACTCCAATTGGACGGACGTGACACAATTTCAGTTGGAAGAGGCAGCAGCGGCCCAAGAAAAGACTAAAACTATTCGAAAATAATTGTAGTTGTTTCTATTGCAGCATCAATAACATTGGCAACATGAAAATCAAGGAATTGCAGAAGACGGTGAACATTGCGTGGTCTCCGGCACAGCAGCAGCAAATATTGTTGGCTGCCGGCACGGCTGCCCAGCAGTTTGACTCAAATGCAAACTCCACCTTGGAGATATACTCGCCCAACTTCAGTGATGCAACCTACGACCTGGAGCTTAAGGCCAGCGTGGCCAGCCAGCACAAGTTAGTTTTGGGCGTAATATTAATCCTTTGGGATTCAATTTAATTCGGTTTCGTTTGCAGGTTCCAGAAACTTATATGGAGTCCCATAGGTCCACATCCAAGCGGCCTTATTGTGGGCGGCTGTGAAGCGGGTCAGATCAATATTTATTCGGCCGGAAAGCTACTCGCCAATGGCAACGAGGAACCCCTGCTGGCTCGCCAAGAGAAGCACACTGGGGCCGTCACCGGACTGGACTTTAATCCCTTCCAAAACAATCTGCTCGCCTCATGTGCCTCTGAATCGGAGATTTATATTTGGGATCTGAACAACCCAGCAACGCACATGAACCCGGGCGCCAAGACCCAGCCACTGGAGGATGTCAAAAATGTTGCCTGGAATCGGCAGGTGCAGCACATTTTGGCCTCTGTTTTCAGCACACGCTGCGTTATCTGGGATCTGCGCAAGAGCCAGCAGATCATTAAGCTCTCTGATTCGCAATCTCGTGTGCGGTGGCATGCCATAGAGTGGCATCCAGAGGCAGCGACTCAGGTCTGGCTGGCCTCGGAGGACGACCAGGCGCCGGTTGTGCAGCTGTGGGACTTGCGGTATGCCACTGCTCCGGCGAAAACATACCAAATCCATGAGCGCGGAGTGCTGGGTATGTCGTGGTGCCTTCAGGACAACGATCTGATGGTGTCCTGCGGCAAGGACAATCGCATATACTGCTGGAATCCCAACACCAAAATACCCGAAGGCGAAATTCTCTCGGAAGTGGCCACCACATCATCCTGGTACTCCGATGTGCAGTTCTGTCCACGCAATCCGGCTCTAATTGCCAGTGCCAGCTTGGAGGGGGCCGTTTCCATATATTCCCTCCATGGAGGCACCCACCATCTGGTGCAGACGGCAAACAAGATCGCAGACTCCTTCCCGGGAATGGATCAGTTTGCCCAAGAGCCCATTCCGCAGCAGGCCACGCAAGTGGTTTACCATGATCTGACGCACGCACCCAAGTGGATGAAGCGACCCTGTGGCGTTACCTTTGGGGTAAGTTTCTCTTCAACATGTCTCGAGTTTTCCTTTATAATTGAGTTATTTTTCTGTTCACAGTTTGGTGGAAAGCTGGTCAGCTTCGATGGTACCTCGAAAAAGGTAAAGGTATCGCAGTTAACCACAGAAGCTGCTCTCGTGGAGCGTGCTAATGCCTTGGAGCGTTCCTTGGCCGATGCCAACTACGCAGATTATTGCCGGCAGAGAGCTGATGACACACCGGACCAGCATCGTCGCTACCTTTGGTACTTCATCAAGGCCAACTTCGAGCTGAACCCAAAGGAGGAAATGCTCAATCTCTTGGGTATGCGAGACCACGTTGAGGGGTATTGCTGACACAAATAGTTATTGTCTTTATCGTTAGGCTACAACAAAGATGACATTGATAGCAAGTTCAACAAGTTTATCAAGGAAACTGAGACGAACTCACAGTCGGATGTGGATACACTCACGACCCGCATTTCCACACTCACCCATGTAAGTTTCCGCCACTCTATCAGACAAGACCTTATCAGTTTAACGACATACACAAAAAAGCAACCTCCCGCCACGCACTATCAACTTCTTCACGTACGTCTTGCTCATCTTGCTTTGTATACTTATTTCTATTCGACAACATACTCCATGCATACGTGGGGCTCTGCTATGCTGTCGCTGTAGAGCGACTCTTCTGAAGTTGAGTGCGATCAGAGTACAAATTATAGCACCGATAATTCGGTAAGATTTAAGAGTAGTACAAATTAGACAGAATCTAACACAGAAAGAGAAAATGCAGCTGCAAAGTGGTGCAAAATCTTCAATGAAATTGTTGCCTCATTTTAAATAAAATGTTTATTTGTTAATGCAGGCAACATTGGACAACAAATTTGATGGAAATGGAACCGATTCTCAAAATCACGACTATGCCACGCAGTCGAGGCGGCCCCAGTTCAAAGTTCCCAGCGGTGATCGTAAGTACAGAGAATAAACTGATCGGCTGGCTAGCTTCCTGCTAATTGATTTTCTACTCACAGACTCTGACAGCTTAATTGCCGAGGCAATACTAACCGGCAACATCGAGGCAGCCGTAGAGCTGTGTCTTGAAGCACAACGCATACCGGAGGCCCTCATCATAGCCTCGACAGCCGGCATTGATACTCTTACTCGAACCCAAACCCGATACCTGGGGCAGCAGAAGAGTGAGCTGTCGCATGTGATCTCGGCCTTGGTTACCCGGGATTGGCTTGACTTCGTCAACCGCTGCACGGTGGAGTCCTGGAAGGAAGCCCTGGTGGCTGCCCTCAAGCACAGCGAGCGAAAAGTGGTCGATATCTGTGAGCGCCTGGGGGATCGCTTGCTGAACGAGTGCGCCAACAGCGTGGAGTCTACACGCAACGCCATGCTGTGCTACATCTGTGCGGGAAGCATTGACAAGCTGGTGAGCGCCTGGTATCAGCTGAAGCAATTAGAGCAGCAGAGCCATAGCTACAAGCTGAACACCACCGAGCTGCAGGACCTGGCCGAGGTGGTGATGCTTATGTGCAAGTCGCTGGAGCAGCAGGGCATCTCGGTGGACTTGGCTGGCCGCTTTGCAGGCTTCCTCACTGAATATGGCGGCCTTTTAGCCTCCCAAGGAGCACTCACGGCAGCTCTTCAGTACATAACAACGCTGGGTGGTGGAGCAACGTGTGAAAATGAAGTTTTGCACGGTCTACGGGATCGCATCAACAACGCCGTCAATTTGGAACAGACCCAGCCACAAGCGGCTGCAGCTGCAGCTCCTGCTTCCTTTGGATACCCCGGCCCACAGCAACGGGGTAGAGGCTCCTTCTCACAGCAGCATCCTGTGGCTTCTATGTCCTATGGCCAACCAGCCAATCAGTATGGAAACCCAGCCAACACTGGCTGGCCTACGCCCGCGCCACCCGCACCAGCAACGTATCCAGCAGCCCAGACGGCACCGCAGATATTTAATCCACAACAAGTAAGGCAGGAGCCTGCGGCCCATCCACCGCGGCCACTCAGCAACGCCAGCTCCTCGGGTGGCCCGCCACCATCGTCAAGTGGTCCGTCTGGCGGTTTAGGGGTGCATGCGCGCTCGAAATATGTTTTGGATCCATCTGTGGCTGCCCCCACCAGTGCCTATGGCATGCCATACAATCCAGTTCCTGTTCCAGCGCCATCCGCAGCTCCGTTCACGGCAGGACCAGGTCCTGGTGCACTTCCACAAGCAGCCAACGTGCCCACATACAATAGCAATGCATTCAATACCAACCCTCTGTCGTCTGGCCAAGGTTACAATCAAACACCCTTCGCTGGAGCACAGCAAAACTCCTACTTGCCGGGGGTAAATCCCATTGAGACGATGCCTCCAGCTGCTCAGCCACCCATTATGCAGAACGTACAGCGGAATCCCACACCACCACCAGGCTGGAACGATCCACCCGCATTGAAATCATCACGTGCGGTAAGAATAATGTGCTGTAACTCGAAACGAAAGGTCTGACTATTGTTTCATTTTACAGCCAAAGCCAAAGCCAGTCGCAGAACCTAGTGCAGCGCCAATATTTCACCCGATTTTCCCTGTTGATCCCAATCAAAACCAAAACGGTTATATGGATCCAGCTCAATATCAGGTATGTTGCAGCGGAGTAGCAACAGGAAGCTGTATTTTAATTGTGAATCATCCACCTTTTTAGAATGCACCACCAACAGGCGTGGCGAGCAATGCGTACTACAATCCAGCTGCATTCAACAACAATCCACAGCAGCAGCAGTCATACCTCCAGCCCCAACAGCAGGTGATTCCCAATCAGGCACCACCTCAGCAGCAAAACTGGCAGGGACAACAGCAGCAGCAGCAGAACATTGGATACACCGAACAGCCGGCACCGATTCAGCAGCAACAGCGCCAACCAGAGGTGCCAAAGGAGAAGCCGCCACTTCCAGAGGAATACATCTACTTGCAGACGGTACTGGAGGAGCTGAAGAATCGTTGCCTGAGCGCAACCAATGATCCGGTAAGTGGTCACGTAATCCACATTCATTTTAGGGCAAAACTCTAATTATATTCGACTTAATAACAGCGCACCAAACGCAAGTTTGTGGATGTCGTCAAACGGTTGGAAAATCTCTACGATTGCTTGCGCGATGGGAAGGTAAGGCTCGGCCATGGATCCACTATTTGCATTTGGTAACTAACGTTTACATTTCTCACGACAGCTCACACCCACCACCGTGCAATATCTTAATCAAATAATACAGTACATTCAAATATCGGACTACGCCAATGCCCTGGAAGTGCATACACGCATTGCATTCGGCACGGACTTTGCGCAGTGTGCTGGCTTCATGCAGGGATTGAAGGTGCTGCTACAGTCGGCATCCGAGATGCAGCTGGTCTTGCGCTAAAACCTTATACTACATACATACGTGTCTGAAAGTACCCGCTTGAGTTGGGCTCATTCAACGTCTAATTATTCTGTCTCTATAGTATGTCCCACTGTCGTTTCTGTTTTCGCCCTTCGTTAATGTATTCTTGGATTCTGTCTGGTATATTTCATATGTGTAATGAATTATATTTCCACTCAATACGAAGCTGTGGACGCATGTGCATGCATAACACTTGCGTTGATCTTCCGCTTACAGAAGCTTTGGCTGATTCCTAATATTATCCAGATCAAGCTGCATCTGGGGGGAACCAGATGCCGCATGTCCACCCTTGAAGGGCGATGGGTTTCGCACGTTTTCATGAGCTCCGTACTCCAATTGCTCTTCCGGTAGCAGGCGATATTTTTTAAGATACTTGTAAGACGCATTCGACATGTCGTTGGGGCTCTGTGTGTGGACTAAGTTGTCTATCTGCCGAAGCGGTTCCGCATGTGGGGACTTCTGGATGCAAGTAACATCCGCAGGCGACGGGGACAAGCGCATTTCTTGCATCAGCTCGTCGACGGGCTGTCGTAAGTACTTCCGTGCGAGTTCCTTCATGACCATGCTCTTCTCCGCATTCGGCTTGGACACCACACCACCCGTGGTTGGCATTCGCGTAGTCTTGGGTGTGTTGGCACGGTATTCAGTCGACTGGGCTCTTGGCGGAGTGGCCCGGGGCGACTGGAATTGTGGGAGACCTCGCGAATGTGGTGCGGGCAATGGCTCATCCTCCTCCACTATGTAATCATGAATAACAGGCGCCATACGCTTTGCTGTGGACGTTTTGAATGGGTTTTAGTATGTGTTTATCTTCGTTCGGTTTACTCACTGTTGCTAGTCGTTAAAATATCACACTGTGAGGCAACTGTCCGGCACGGCTTTGAGCTGGAACCTGCAGTCGCTTGTTGGCTCTGCAGCAACGACTCGCAGAGGCTTCTTAGCTGTTGCTGCTCCTGATGCATGGACTCTAGAAGATCAACTACTCTGGCAAGGTCATTCTTATTGACCAAATTGCTTATGTTGATGTCCGAGTACACAACGGACGGCAACGACGTTTGAGATGGCGATATACGTACAGCTTCCGTTTGCGTTCCAGCACAAATCGTGAGCACATCGTTGGTTGCTGTCTGGGCGGGTGGGCGCATCACCTGATGGTACTGCCTCACTGGCTCTGCATAACTTGCCCCGGTCTGACTGGATGTCTGATATTTACTCGACGGCGCCGCCTCATATCCGTAAGGCCGCTCTCGAGGAGTAATATAGTACTCATTGGGGCTGCTCGGAAAATTGTTGCTGGTTGGGACCGGCCGCGGGCCAAGTTCTGTTGACAGAATCGGGCTAAAGTTTACTCGGGGCAGCATTTGCTTCTTCCAGGAGGCGAAGCTGGGCCGCGGATCTGCCGCTGGTTGCGGCGTCGGTTCGGGCTGCGGTTGCGGCTGCGACGGAGGCTGTCCGAATAATATCGAAACTTCCGGCACTGTTGGCCTCACAATTTGATCGGTAAGACCCGCTGGTGCCGATGCACTGGGTCTGGGCGCTGAGCGCGGCAACATGTCTTCCGTTTCAGGCTCAAACATTTTAAATCTTAATTTATTTATTATTATTTACTTTACAAAATTAAATTCGGGTGGGGAGGGGCTTGGGACCCAGTGTGACCGTGGATTTACTGATCAAATATTACCCGCATTACCCTCATGTATATTCTAAAATGTACCATTCTTTTCCAAATATACCGTAAGTAAACAATAAATCATAATTCATTTTTCTAAAATTTGATATTCTAATTAAATTTACCAGCCAGATAGGACTTACAGCACTAAAGCTAAAATTTTATTCAATTTAACAATCAATTCTTAACAAGATTGGCTAGTTTTCGAGACTTCCTTTTATTGGGGTGTTTACCAAATATATTAAAAACTTTTTGCTTCTAAACTGGTGAACTTGTTAATTTATGTAAAATGTATGTAAGCGACGAGTAGAAGAATATCACGTGTAAAATCTAAGCATACAGTATATACTGTGACGGTGTTAAAATCGTTTAGGGTTAGACGGTATATTTCGTATCCATAAACCCGCGGTCACACTGCCGGCGTGTGTCATTGAAAAAAAAAAAACAAAAACAAATATAAATTATTGTCAAAGTATGCCCGTTTTGGAACACATTGATGCCATGGCTTCAACACCAGCACCCGCTACCACCACGGTGCCCACCGACACAGAGTCTCCACATCAGGCCGCACCTGAATTAACGCAAACGGATCATCTAAACAGACGTCTTCTGAAATCTCTTTTGGACACGATGCAGATGCAAATGCAGTCTGACGATGCAAACCAGAGCAACGACGACAGCAACAACGACGAGTCCAACAATGAATTTGATGAATAAATTCTGTTATACTATGTTTATCATAAGGTCTTTAATTTTTGTATTTCGGCATGGAGGAGGACTTCACTTATAAAGACTCCAACAATGTGACACAAGTTTTAGGCCCGATCTAGCTGATCATTCAGTTGATCGCTAAGTTGCTTTAGTCTTTCGGCGCTGTTGTCCAGATGGACCATTTTCTTTTCACTAAATTCTTGTGGTTCTACCGAAAAACAGGGAAAGACAAGACCTCGACTGCGAATGGCGACAACAAAAGCATCATAAGCCTTTCCAACAATATTTGTCTTCATTCTTTTATTTAGCGTCGCGTTAAAAGTTGTAGCATACTTTTAGGCCGAAAAGGAATCATGAGCTGCTTTGTATTTGAGATAGAAAATCTTTGAAAAATCTATTCGGACATCGTTCCACTTTGTCGATCTACCTATAATCTCGGCGATATGTTAAATGTTTTTATTGTAATCTGGAATGTGTCTGCGTGTGTCTTCTCCTGTGTGGGGGTGGAATGAGTGTAATACATTTCGGATAATACTTAATTAACGCTTTAGTTATGACCTAATCCTAGTGCTATCAACATTGAGTGTCTCCGAGTGGTGGGTCCGTGCTATTTACAGGTGAACTCCTCGTAGCTTTCGTCGCACAGCTCGCACTCCACCTGGCAACACCATCGGAACTGGCAGCGGCACTGCTTGCTGCGTCGGATGTGCTGCGTGTTGTGGCCACGCCCGCAGCACAACAGGTCGCAGTTCTGGGAACCGTGTCCATTCCGCTGGCAGAGACGACCCACCGTGCCAAGGGTGCCCGTCTGAAGGCTGCGCTCGCAGTAGTTCGGCGACGCCTCCAGGTAGATCAGCTCCATGCGCTTTGGCCACACCAAGGCTGGCTTAGCGGGGCGGGCACTTCCATGTTTCCTTCTGGTTGGGATGGAGAGGGTTTCTCTATTAGTTCTCGGATCAGTATTGTTATCCACTCACCTGCTTATTACTAATCTCAGTCCACGTTTGCCTCGAACGGCTTGAACAGTTTTGGCTTTATGATACTTCTGCATGAGCTTGTCGCCGATCAGACGGAACGGCGGCAGGCTCTTCCAGCAGGTCTTCATCACACAGGAGCCGCTCACGCCATGGCACTTGCAGTCCGTGCGAAGCATTTTCTTCACCAGCTGAAAGGGAACACAATTAGGGAGGAGCCCTACAACATATGATAAAATCCCGCATACGCACCGTTCGCCCGGCTCGATTGTTGTGGAGATTCATCAGCGTGCGGGCGTCGTGCTCGAGCTCCCGCGCATCGAGGAACTTGCGGGTATATCTCATGCCAAAGTCCACATCCGCAGAACAGCCGCCCCATTTCCAGGGCTCGGCTGGCGTGCCATCCGTGGAGGGGCCAGCCTTATGGCGCACATCGCATCCGCAGGTGGAGATGTTGCCGCGCGCACATGCAGCAGTCACCGCATAGGCAGCTCCAGCACTGGCTATGGCATACGTATACGCTGCCTCCCGTGAAGCTGTACAAGGATTAGCATGGATAAAAAGGCTGTGGCTTCTGGCCAACTCACCAATGGGTATGACATGGGCAAAGACATTACGCTGCCACACCTCTGAGCAGTTCCAGCGGTGGCCACGAAACTGCTGCTGGCACTCCTGTGCACCCAGCTGATGGCCCTCGCCCAGGGCGATCAGGGCGTCCGGCATTTCCCCGCACAGCTGGCGCTGGGGCAAGGTCAGGCCCGGAATGCGGCCGCAGAGCATGGCGGATGTAAAGCTGGACACTAATCTGACGAGAAATCAAAGCAAACAGAACCATAAATAACACCCTGTAGACCACCAAGCGGCATCAAATAAAATATTACAAACAAACGCCGATCGATCGTCGGATCGTTGGATCGTTGGATCGTTCGATTGGCAATGGCTGAAAAGTCGTGCACAAAAAACGCCGCCAGCACTGGAGCTGTGGCTTGATTTTCATTTAATTTTCATTTCGTTGGCCATTGGAGGCTTCAGCCCCAACACATCTCGGCCAATCGAAGACAAACGTATTAGAGCCAGGCCAAGTCGAGTCTGGCCAAGAGATTAATGCGTTGCTGACTCTGTCAGGTGGCGGTGGCTCTGGCAGGGGGCTCACGGGGCGTTATTCTGTCAGTTTTAGTCAACTCTCTGCCGCCAGCTGTATTATTAGCCATAATTACATGGATATGGATATGGATATGGAGATGGAGATGGAGCTGGCGATGGAGAAGCTCAAGCTCGGTGCAGGCAGGCAGCCATCGTGACTCGATGGAGTGTCCGTCCAATCAACTTCGCTTGAGCCACGCTGAACTCAGCTGATATTCGAGTTAAATGGCCAAATTAATGCTAACAGTCAAAAAATGGCAAATGGGATTAATGAGTTTCGACAATGAGTTGCAAATTGCCAGAGTCAGAGGCAGAGGCAGAGCCAGGCGGGGGCGTCTCCCGCTCTCCTACTCTCTTTTATGCTGCCCACTCTCCGGCCCACTGCCGAGACGTGTCCAACTGTCTAACCTGTCGATTTGCGGCTGCCAAACCAATCAGCATCAAACAGCTGGTTCCATAATCAAGTCGTCGATCGATCGCCTTTTGTCCGCAGCAGACGGGCAGCGAGGCAGAAACTGAAAATGGGACTGGGACTGGGACTGGGACTGGGACTGTTGCCGTGCCAAAAACACATCCTCGGGCCACAGAAAACAATTGGGTAGGCAACTCCGACTCCGACTCCGACTGGTTGCCACATGGCCACATTTGCCACATCTGTATAGATTTGTAAATTGCTTTCGCTGCCTGCCACTCCGGTGTCTCCAGCCTCAGCTCTGCAGCTCCAACTCTTACAAGACATTTTTAATTGCGGCAATTAAATCAATTTACAGAAAATTACACATTTTACCCACCACAGAGGAGCACGGAGTCGTCTCCAGCCCAAGATCTGAACAAACCTTTAACCGATCGATCGATTGTGTACGTTGATCGACACTCCCCAAAGGATTCACCAAAGTCTTTACTTTCTACAGCCAAAGCCAGGGTACTTCAGCCGTCGACCCCCGTGGCTATCCTTGTTTTCTTGCTCATGTTGGATGCTGTTTTTGGCTTGTTAAACATGCTGTTAACATGACTGGAGCGATCCGGGACGATCGATGAACGATGAACGATGAACGATGAAAATTGGTGGCAAAACTAATAATTAGGCTCGCTTAACCGGCACGACCTGGCAACTGGCAACTGGTAACTGGCTAAGGGCTGGGGGCTCAACCGCAAACCTTCAACTCTTTTTTGCTGGCCCGAAAACAAGCTGATCAATCTGTTGGTCGGTGCATCCGTTCTGACAGTCAGTCAGTCAGTCAGTCAATAGCTTTTACGTGCGTTCGCTCAGCGTGACCGTCATGCCCTGCCCTGCCCGTTGCTTCTTCTATAACAACTCCAACCTCCAGCCGAACAATCAAGGCAACCATCTCTCCATCTCTCCTCAACCCTTTTGTTTTTGGCTGCTTTATTTGCCTGCCTGTTGCATGTCAACGCCGACAATTTCATCATCATCGTCATCGTCATCGCCATGCCCATCCCCCTTAATGATCTCCATTCCCTTGAGGAGTCCAAGTCACGTGTGTGTGCTTGATTTGTGCTTTGTTTCGTATCCCTTTCGCTCTGTTTTGTCCTTAGACTGCTTCACTTTTAGTTGTGTTGTGCTGTGTTCTGTGTGTGTCTGTGTGTGGTTTACTCGTAGTTTTATCTCTTGTTCTATATCGAGAACGGCTCGGGGCCCTGCCTTCGCTTCGTGACCCTCTATGCTGCGTGAGAGCAAGGACCTGTCATGAACTTGATACGATATCCGCCTCCGCCTCCTCCTTCGACTCAGCCTGTACGCCTGCCTCACCATCAACTCCAGCTCCGAAATAGAGTTTCGCATTAAGAAAAACGAAACTAGTTCCATCGACAGTCTTATGGCTTCTGCTCTGCAACAAATTGGTGATTCCTCAGCCAGTAATTTGCACAAAAATATTTGCCACGACAACGCGGAATCATTAAAAATGGATTAAGCCAAGCGCATAACTCAACGCCCGGCAGCTGAAACGGAGCTGGAGCTGGAGCTGGAGCTAGGCCGTTGGACAGGCCACTTATGTGCTGGCAAAGCATAAATGCCCCCAACCCCAGTGCGAGTCAATACTCGTAGCTGGCCAACAACACCAACAACAGCAACAACAGCACAGCACAGGCCGAGAGAGGGACCGACTTAATGCGCACTTTGGAGCCTCATAAAAATA